TTATGTGGGGAAAATATACCTAAAGGGAAATGTCAATATGCATCAGTAGTTGAGTTGATCTACATAATTCAATTGTTAATTGTGTGCATATAGAGAGATATCAACACATAACACTAGTCAAACTAATCTTTATAACTCAATTGTCAACCGTGTGCTATGCTATTAAAAATCTGAATCTAAAAAAATTGGTTGGTTAAAATAGTCTAATAAAATTCAAAACAAAAAAAATACACAAATAAGTAAGTTCAAAAAAATTCAAAAATCACCTTTTGAGTTATAGTAGGTTTTGTGCATGAATGACTCTTAATTTGTTAAGGAGCACATCTGTTAAACACCTTAACTATATAGCATCACATTGTTTATACAAATATTAACTTATCAAATATAATATGACATTTAACTTTTTTTTAACTTAATTACACCAGTACATTATGATTTTTTGAGGTTTATAATATATAAATTTTCAAAAAACATTCACATGCGTACACGGTGCATTGAGAGAAAAATAAAATACAAAAAAAAAAATAAATAAAAAACCTAAATAGAACAGCCTTTCAATCCCCTTGAGAATTTATCAAACCTATATCCCAACTCAAACTATTGTATATCAAGAAAAGAACTAGCATGCTTGAGCTAGAAAGGTACATCTATGAATTAACTTTTACTCACATCATATAGCAGGAAAAATATAAGCTTAAACTAATAACTCCTACATCTGAAATGAATGAGTGCATCTCAACAACCAAGAATAATCAATTCAGCAATGGACAGCAAATAAAAAATATCAAGATTTCCCAATTTCCATCAAGAAAATACATTATAAAACCCAATCTTTATATGAATTGAGAAATAGCATACCAAACCTCCACCATGAACCCCAACCTGAATAGAAGATTATATTCTTGATGCAGATAGTAATTTTACTTCAAAAGAATGAATTTAATAAAGAGGCATCAAAACAGAAATGGAGTCCCAAAACTCATATTTTCTCTCAGCGTCCACATACGCACAGAATATCACGTTTCCTATTTGAAGACATGTGGAATTCAATGGAGTAATTACCAGCTATCACAATAATCCAAAATAGTTGGTCGCGAAACCATCACCGGATGGGAAAATCAACTAGAAAAATAAATGTGTGGGACTGTGTGTGGTCGTAGATGGTGGGTTTGTGTGTGAAGACCACACATCTAGCAATTTGAATTGCACATTTATAAATGTAGAACAATGGTTGAGATTAATCTAATCCAATTTTATCAAACGGTACAAAATTCATTCGAAAAAAATTTATCCCGCCCAAAAGACAAATCCTCTAATCTACACCTATCTCTCTTCTCTTTCCCCTACCTATATTTTATTTTTTTTCTCTGTTTACTTGCACAATTAAAGAACAAAAATTGCCATTTAGAAGACAAATATTGCACTATTGATGTTTAATTTTTGATACATATATATATATATATATAGAGAGAGAGAGAGAGGAACCTGAAACAGGCTACCGAGGAGAGAGTTGCACAGCGATAGTAGTGGGTGTTGTGTGCCTGGCGATTGAGAATAGATCCTCGACACAAAGGCTAGGGTTATGGTCCTACAAAATTCCAAGTTTTGGTTCGGTTTAGGTCAGAATCAGGGATTTTTACCAGTGCACAACCACAATGACGACAGACGGAGCTGTGAACTTCGGGGGTAAACCCAACTGCTCACGGTATGCGTGTTTGGGTGTCTGTGTGTGTGTGTGTGTGTGTGTGAGAGAGAGCAAGCAGAGGGGCGGGCGTGTCCTTGAAACCAAGCACATGTAAATTTTCTCCTACCCAAAAAAGTGGGGTGTCCCTCGGCCCTAATCCCCACAGCAAATTGGGAGCATGTAAACTTACCAGCGTTCTTCGACCAGAGGTAATCTCAACTTACGCCAGGTTATTCGAATTTTAATTTGTATTTTTAAATTTTAAAAATATTTATTTACTCCAAAAGATGAAAATATATATAAATGTAAATCAGAAATTAACTGTCATTTATTTTACCGTTAAAAAAATTTTAATTAATTATAAATTACACTCTTTAAAGTTTAAATAATTCACATTTATAATCCAAAAAGAATTTCACCCGTTAATGTTCTAACTCTCAATTTATTGTGTCATAATATTTTCGTATCGTGTTCGAGTTGATAAAAAAATAATTTTTAATACAAAAAATATCTTCTTGTCGAATCAATTGTATTATGTTATATATTTCACATTTACGAAAATTCATATGGTATTATTTAATATTTTTTAAAAATTAAAAAATACTTATTTTTTTGCCTATAATACTCGTTAAATAATTATTTTCTGTCTACAGTTGTATTATTCGTATCTAACTTTAATTTGATCGGACAATCAAAAGATTTGTGTCTACTTATAGACAAAAAATAACTATTTAAGGAGTATTGTAGGCAAAAAATACCTATTTTATAAGGTTTTTTTTAATTTTTTTTAAAAAAATTATTGATTCGAACACAACATGAAAATGTTATAATACGATACAATTGAGAACTATTTAATGAACATTAATGGATGAATTTAGATCATAAATATGAAAATATTTAAATTTTGAGTGATACAATTTATAATTAGCCCAATTTTCCAATTTTTTTTAACGGTCAAATGAACAGAGTTAACTCTATTGCATATTAATACGAATTTATATCTTTTAAGGTGTAAATTGATATTTTAAAATATTAAGGATATAAATTAAAATTTGAGTAATCTTTCGTAATGCAGGTTGTGATTAGCCCTTATTTTTTCAACTATTGAAGTTCTATCCCACGAGTTTCAATTTTTATTTTCACTTTTTATTTGGTGCCTCTTGATTTAAACATATGAATATATTATATTAATCTCCTCGCGAAGAAAAACACATTCTAACCAAAAAACAACCCCAAACAATGAGCTATCCTCACTCGAAGTATGACTTAAACTTGACCAAATATCACATTCTAGTCCAACATCAAGTTCGTGTACTTTGTCTCACATCACTTGGGAAAATATGTGCAAAGTTTATAAATACGAGGCTTGAACCTTCATCGAACTATGTATTTTATAGCCATGTAAGCCTAATCCATAATCCAAAGCATACAATGTTTTATGCAATATGGATCAGTGGTGTTACAAATGGTATGAGAAGTATTGACACTCATGGTGTTAAGGCACAGTCTTTACACCCCTTGTGCATGCTAGTCCGACGAGCTGGGTTGTTGGGGTTGGTGGCAGCTAGTGTGATGAGACCCACACTCTTGAATCAATTTGTCTTGGTTTGGAAATCTGGTGTGGGTTTTCATAGGGCATCAATTTTATTGATGAACTGGAACCGACACGAACAAAATAGATTAATTAATTGATACGTAAAATAAATAGGTAAAATTAAGGTTAGACACAAATAATAAGATTAATGAGTAATATAAACAAAAAATAAGCATTTAATGGGTATTATGAGTAGTTATAAAATTAAATAATTTTTTTTTAATATGAAAGAGATATAAGGTGGGTTATTTGTGGTGACCCACGCCCAAGACCGAATACTTGAGGCCAAGATGAATGAGTTGAAGTGAAAGAATCAAGCCCCTATTCAATTACGTGTGAACTGCTTTATAAGTATAAGCCTTGAACTTTGACTGGACAAAACATTTTAAAGTTTGTATAGTAGTGATGATCTCTATGGAATAAATTACAAATCACAAATAATTGTTTAGAAAAATTGATCAAAATGATGTAACACTGACATGGTCAGTAAAATTTAATTTTAAATGAGTAAAAATAGAATAAAAAAGATATGTCAATGTCACATTATTTGTTGTTTTTTTTTCCATTTGTTGGTTAATCAAACATTATTCTTTCTCAACAAATTGTTGCAACACCTTCCCTTTCTAACTCCCTTGTCCTCAGCCTCTCTATGATTGCAAGCTAGATTATGAAGCTCATCATTCAGATGGTTAAAGGGAACCACATACACAAGGGTTCTTAATTAGGTGATTTGTCAATCTAATCGACTCTTTTCCGCAGCCACTGCCACCACCACACCTTCACCACTTCACTACTAGGACAACCACCTCTGCCACGACCACCACCTCCACAATGATGGTGGGAGGGGAGAAGGCGATGAAGTGGTGACAGTGAGGTGGTAAATGTGGTGGTGGTGGTGGCGGGGATGTTGCAGTTGTGACAAAATGGTGGCAACGATGGGTAGCGTGGGGTGGTGGTTGTGGCTGCTGCAGTGGAGGTGGTGTTGGTGACATGGTGGTGGCAAGGTAGTTGTGGGATGGTGTTGATGGTTGGGGTGAAAGCGGGGGTGGTAAGGTGACAGTGGTGAGTTTAGTGGCTCAGAGTTAATTAAGATCAAGATAATTGAGGGCAAATTAATCTATCATAACCATAAAAAATTTAAAAATCCTTATTCACAAAGTATATTAAACACTCAAAATGTTAATGTGCGTAAATTTATATTTTTTGTTTTGATATACAACAATTGATCATAATCATAAATCTAATATATCACTACTAAAACAATAAGAGCACAGTAGAACTCCCAAAGATAGGAACAAAGAAAAGTATAATACACCTCCAAGAGAGACATAAGATACCAATTCTAAAATACCGAAGCAATAATACCAGGTCCCACGTGCAATCACTCATGAACTACATACATATATATATATATATATATAGAAAAACTCGAATAAAGGTAAAAGTAAAACCTCTGAAATATTCTTATATGAATTATCCAAACGATCAATTCCTTGTACTTGTAGATTTAATTGCATAAATAACTTCATACAAAAAGAAACACCATTTCTTACTCGTGTTGTCCAGGTTGCAGTAAAGTCTACATGTGAACCACCAAAAATGAGATATAATAATAAACAAAAGGGCCATTTATGTTTCTTAATAGGAGTTCTTACACAGTTATTGACATCCAATAGCACTCATACTGAATTCTCAACAAGTTTTTCACGAGAAACAACTTTCTCAAATATCCTCCGGGCCATGGATCTCCTGCATATCAAATATAACACAGTAAGCCAATAGATTTATAATGCTAAGCCTATTAAGGACACTCCATAATAAAGGAAGTCCAGTTCCTATAAATCACCTTGTTTTCAAGTACTGTTCCGTCGGGGATTTCTAACTTCACTCCAGGTTTTGCAGCTATTGTCACTTTCCCCTGAAACAAACAACGAAACCACTCGTGAGAGATATCACAAACATCGTCATCCATCCAGTTACCGCCAATACTTCGATTATGTCTGGGTGCATATACTGAAAATATACACATCCAAGCAAAGAAACAAAAAGATCAAGATCATGAGAAAAGTTCTACGAGAGAATGCTACCGGATGATGGTACCTTAAGAATGATGTCAGACCCGAACCATACATCACCAGTCACCTTCAGGCTATCAAGCTCGATGATACTAGGGATAGACTTGAAACGGCTTAAGAAGTTTCCAACCTTGAAAAAAAGTTTAAAATCAGCAGCATAAACAAAAAATGGCAACAATCTGCTGAACCTATCCGCTGAAATAAATCTCAAACCTTTTTAAATTCTGGTCCCAATTCAATAGAAGGATTAGCAGGGTTTGCCCTAGCTTCATTCCGGCTCACAAAGCCATCAGATAAGGTGTAAAGATCAGACTGTAAAGGATCAGACAGATGTGTTAAGCAACTGTCCAGTTATCACTCCCACAAACCCATCCACACATACACAAAACAAAACCAACAGCCAACGGTGAGGACGAAGAAGAATGCTCAAGAGAAGGTTTACCTCGACAAGAAGCAAATCTGAAGTTGCTTTTACTGGAAGGAACCGCGATCGAGGAACATTAATACCAATGGCATTATCAAAGAACTGATCACAAACCATGACAACCAGTATAGATTCGAATAACACCACCCAACAATGACAAAGAAAATGGAAAAGAAAATCAGAGAACAGTAACAACATAACAGCATATTACAAGATTCAGAAGGCATAAAAGAGTAATGCATGATGGTCCGCACCTTTATTGCAGCACCAGCTGCAGTTTCCAGCTGAAGAACTTTAATTCCATCCACTTCCTGTGAATCATATTGACTTCGTCACACTTTTTAGAAAAGATTGGTCTGTCGCGGCACAGTTCAGCATAGGAAAATTGAATACCTTTGGGTTTGGAATGATCTCCATCTTGAGTGCATCTGCTTGCACAAGTTTTTTTATTGCCTTCAAATTCACCCACCTGGCATGATACCGTGTGAGTATTCAACCACCACATATATTTAGATTATAAAAATCTTCAATGAGAAGTTGTTTGTATTATAAGTTTTGAGCTCCTCAATGCAAGTATTCAAACACAAGAAGTTCACACATGGGAACACAACTTACAAGTTGTTTGTATTGAAAATTTTGAACTTTTCTATTGACTTGAATTCATTCACCTGTATGAAACAAAGAGCTCTCACATCAGCCACAAACTTTTCAAAGAATTCAAATCAGTATTGTATTATATAATACCAAATATCCAAATATGAAGGTGATTATGCTACCAACAGGGTTATACTATTCAAACCAGTTGTTGAATAACAGGCACCAGAAATGTCTGTTTTGACTCTCAGTAAATGTTAGGAGAGTAAAGAGGCATAGGATATCCAATAAATGGGCTGAAAAGATTACAAGCACTCGCTTGGGGACAAGGTTTACCAAGATCTTGTCTCCAGTGTGCTACCTCTCTTTCAGTCCCTCCCTCCCTCCCAAATATGTATTTCTCACATACCTAATGCAATCCCATCTTGGTGGAAGATAAATGTTTCACGATTTGTTCAATACTAATTTTTCTTATACTGTCACAAATAATCCTTGTTTATTAATGGAGCATGAATAGTCCAAAGTTCTCATAAAGCTCAAGTAATGGTCATACCATTCTCTCTTGCCAATACCAAACAATTGTGGGGCACAAGATTGTACTCTCCTCTCTTCCAGTTTTCAGAAAATATTTTGCCATTGCATTATCTATTATGTTCCACTATTTTTTATTCTTATTGTATGATAAACATTTTCACCCCAAAAGGTGAAAACCTAGTGCTGAAACCATCTAATGGAACAATCCCACTCGGCCTAACAAAGTAGCAACTATAACTGCATATTGAATAGCAAATAATGAAAAGCAACAGCAGAAGAAATAAAAGTATAGAACTTGGGCAGCTCACGTGTTCATCAGGAACTTGAGCAATCTCCAGGAGCTGCAGCAGATAGAGACAGAAAAGTGTCATGATGTAAATTGTAATTGAATTATAAACACATGCAACTCATCTGTAATAGATTTTATTTATTTTGCAGCGTGCAGAATGTTAGCAAGACATCAATATGCAACGTACAATCAAACAAAAGAAGAAAAGAAAAAAGGGAAGGTGACACCAATATGGATCCAACTGCATCAATTAGTTCCATAAACTAGCGACTGTTTGAAGGAAGAACTGAATCATAACTGAAACTGGAAAGGAGTTGGTCTATTGCTCTCGTTACCATCATTATAATTTGCTTCATAGGAAGACAATAACATGGATGATATTAAAATTATCTGATGCTAAATACAAATAAGCGGTACTCAAACTTCAGGAATGTATTTGAGGAGGAAATGATAAATATGAAATGCCCAAATTACTCTTATAAATAATGGGCTGGCTATTTCAGACTAGCCAATTTAAAGCTAGATTTGATGTTTATGTCAGCATCATTGCGTAGTTACTCTCATGGTCCAAAAAAAAAAACAGGTGGGGAAAATTTTTCTTTTTCTTTTTTTTTTTTTTGTGGGGGAGGGGAGAGACTTGAACCCTTGACTTTAAGAAGGCAAAACCTTTACAAGATAAGGAATACCATTAGACCAAAGGGCTGTTCCAAATCAGCAGTGCTATTCCTAGCTCTAAAATATACCAGGACCATCTACGCTTGTGAGCAGGCTACCACATAGAAGCAAATGACATGAGCTCTCAATCTAACACAATAGGAAATGTCATCTAAATGTTTTTTCACTCTTACCATTTCTAAAGGTAAGAAAGTGTATACAACCGTATGGGAGAGAAATTTACACAGACATCTCAATGCAACAACATCAGCTGACAATGTAAAGACTCTTAGTTTCGGAAACATCTCAATGCAACATCAGCTGACAATGTAAAGATTCTTAGTTTTGGAAAGGTAAGTGTTTTGCTTCAAAAAAGGACGTGTAGTACACAGGGTAAGGGGAATACCCTAGCCAACCAAAAAACAAGCAGTAGGACCACTCTCAGCTAACAGAGAAAACCAACAAAGATCAACTATCTCAAGGAAATTCGGTTTTTGCTACCAGTTCCAATATTCTAAGCACAGATATGGGAGCAGAAAGTACATCAACGCAGCTATGTTATCTAGATCATACACCCCACAACAGCATCGTTACATGGACATGTCAGAATGGGATGCTAGAAAGTTGACCAAAATTCTATGTGTTGCACCCAGTCGCACACCCTTAACATTCCTTCCTTTTTGAGCTATATTCAGAAGCACTGAGACTCAAGGGTAAAAAGTCCTAGATATCCAGCAATTGAGTTTATGAAATAGTTACACCTGTTGCAATTTGGTCAAAGCACAGAATAACTAAACTTTGGGCTTTATGAGAGAACTTCTAGAGAAAAATTTGCAGTAGCCATCTCATAATCTGTTTCCTATTATCGTAGTTCCCAAATGCTTTTGCCTTTCTAGTATAGGCTTCAAGACAAACAAACATCGATCCAGTAGGACAGAGATTAAGAGAGAGAAGAAAGAACAGAATCAATCGAGATAGAGACAATTTCAATTCGTAATCTATATATTGAATGGAAAACACTAATTCCAATCACAACCTACCTAGGATATATAGGCTTCTCCCAAAAGTTCCAGTGTGAAATAAACATAATCAGATGCAACATTAAAGGCAATAAATAAGTAAATCCTAATAATCATCCTAACAAAAATTAATCAGTGGTCTTGCCAACGCCTCATTTAGGTGTGAAAGGTGAGTTTCTCATAAGCCCCTGCCTCAACTGCGAATGGCGAGATTCCCGTAATCTCCACCATAAACCATGTAAATTTGTCACATCAATAGTGCCTAGATTCTTGCATCTTTTACCACTATGAGACACTAAACTACACCCCGACTAGGGATAACAAAAATTCAATCCGAACTAATCAAAATGGCCAAATCTTTCCTATTTTCAAGAAGACCAAAATAAATCAGTGATTGAATCGAAATCGAAAATTCCAATACTTCAGTGTTCAGAATGTTTCGAGATTGCAAGATGTTTTTGGCATATTTTGACCAATATTTCAAAATGTTTTGAAAATAAAGTTTAAATTTTTTATTTGTTTTTATTTTATTTTTGAAACGTTTCCCAAGTGAACAAAGCAATGCACGTAAATAAAATTTTAATCCCTGGTCCCGACAACGCACAGCCCATAATAAATTGGATGGAAGAATATAAAATCAATATAATTCACCATTGAAAAAAATATAGAATCATCAATGGAAGAATGCCTTCCCTCTCTTAGTGGCCCCCTAACTTCCACAAAAAGATTGATGCAAGACAAGATACTTGAAAATCAATAGTAGAGAATGTATCCAATACAACACTAAGGCAGCATACGGTTGTTTCAGCAAGGAATATGACACAAATAATCAGCCTTAATTCATGGGTGAATAAAGAATAATGATGGTCAAGATTTTGTAAAAGATTTGCAAAACCCTTTTTGTGCAGAGAGAAAATTTTCCTGGCCACAAAAAGAGTCCACCACAGTAGACCTTCCTCGCAAACTATATGATCTTCACAAAACGAGAGATTGACCATCACAAAATGGACAGATAGCATCTAGCATTGAGCTTGAAATCAATCAATGAGAACGACTGTCTTGAACATCCCCAAATATTCTAGTCATGCATTAAATTTTTTTTATTTATTTTGGGATATAAATTCCAAATCATTAGGCATTAGAGTAAAAAAATTACGCAGTTTTTATCAAAAATAAGTTGCACAGTAACTGGTAGAGCATTCAAGCCAAAACCAATGGGGAATGAGTACAGAGATTTCTTAACCATAAAATCTTTCAATGTAAGATACAAGCTCTCTTTTCAATAACGATACTTACCGTAAAGTCATCTCAAGGCACATCTAAAAAAGACATGCTTATGTATAGACTTCAGAATTTTAACTTAGTCTGTGCCTTATATTTGCGCATTAGTTCGTCTCCTCACAAAAACATCCAGTCACTCACTGTCAAAGGAACAAACTACTGGACATAACATATCCAAGTATAGTTTTTACCGGTTCCTCATGACAGAATAAGCCATGCACGTAACTTATTATGATATGTTCATTATGCTCAATACTTTAGAGCAAGTGTGTAAAATTATTTTTGTAAAATGTAGCAGAATGTAATCTGTGTACAAGTGGAACAGAAAAATTCTGATAGCTGATAAAATCAAATAACCAGAATACGAATACAAAAGCAAGCCCATGCAAGAGACTTAATAGGCAATCACACACATTTTGTACTCATGAACTCTCCTACACCTTAGGATCAAAGTACAACTAAGTATTCAGAGGATAAAGTTGAACAGTGACCAATAAACACATACCTGAACTTTTCCTTCGTAAGAAATAAGAGTGCCACCCTTCACATCAGCCAATGTTTTGGGAGTAACCTGCAAAAAATGATGCAGGGAAGTTCTAGCAAGAGTTTTGAAATAGGTAGAATTTAAAAAATCTCACAGTTACCTCCATGCAGTACTCATTCTTGTTTTGGATCAAATGGTTCAAGATTTCTTTAACAGTGATTAAGGAATGAAACTGTGCAAAAAAAAATGTCTACTCAACGCAGTTTATCAACAAGAGATACATATTATGCTATGTGTCCTGATACATAAAAGTAAGGATGTCAAAGGCAGCTTTCAGTTGCCAAAAAGACCATAGTAAGGATACTCAAATCAACAACAGCCCCCAAGTTATCTGAATTGGCAATAAACACATATTCCTTTCCCTGTGAAAGTAAACAATAAGGACTAATTAAAATGAAGAAACAGTGTACAAGTAATATGCATGAAATATGTATCGAAATCCAATAACAATGAACCACGGCAAATAGCAAAACCTGTGACAGCAACGCATCAAGCTTGCCACTGTTCATCAACGATGGGAAAACATCACCGTGGCCAGGGGGATACCTGCACACGCAAACAATATTCACAACCACAGGACAGAACAATTAAACACCACTGACCAACAATTCTTGGACAGGTGGCACATTTTGCACTCAAGCAATTCAGTCATTGAGACCTATATTTTGTGTAATTTGCCTGTGCAACTTGGTAACCTTTGTTGGGTACTTTCTTGCTTTTTTACTTTTTCTAAGTAACATTTTTTTTGCATATTTGTTTTTTGCTTTTTTCTTGTCCGATCCCTTATTCCAAGCTTAATCCCATGTACAGTAGAGTATATATGCATGTAAGCCAGGCAGATTAATCATATCATTACCCAAACAGGTGGCATCATCACTATTATTTGAATCTGGGTTTATTAAAAGATGAGACCCAAGTGCTATTATATGTAAAATGACAATACAATTAAGGGTTTTAGCATTTTTCATAACTCCCACGATTACAAATTGCAACACTAAAGCCATTATATTGATAAAAAACAGTGAAAACATGTATCATTACCATCCATCCTTGCCAGCGTTCCCTTTGCATGGCAGTGGCATAAAATCTTCAACAACCAGACGAGGATACTGGCTCTATAAAAATTGAAAGAGAACATGCAAGAATTATAATTGCAGAGTTCCAAGAAGTACATGAAGTGGAAACTGATTAGCCAAGAGATGTACAGACCTGATTAAATGTATGAATCTCAATGTTTGATTTTGCGTATTTCTCTACGATCTACATTTAACAAGCCCAACTGATCAGTATTCTTTGGATTCAATAAAAAGGCCTACCAAAAAAATCCCACTGAAAAGGATCTTCCTGAATGGAAAAATGGTCATGCTGACAGCATTCACCTTCTGTGTATCATCGTGTGTGTTGAATGAGTTCATCAGAAGTAGGGGCACGTTGCATCCAAACGTAGCATTGAGCGCCTAGAATAATCAGAATGTCAGTTGCAATCAGCAATGGAACAACACAAACCCTAACAAAAAAATTATATACATACAAATGAAATACCTCAATTTGGATGACAATCAGGTCAAGGAAGGTCAGCCCATTACGAACTTCAATAACAGACCTGCATCACAAAGAGATAAATTTTAAGAGCTAGATAACTGCAAAAGAACTAGGTCAACAACTTGGATAGAATATTAAAACTAAATTTTAGGAGCTAGATAACTGCAGAAGAACTAGGTCAACAAACTTTGGGTTTCAGTTATAAGAAACAAATCTAGAAATATGTTGAAAAACAATCAAATCCATACTTTGGACCAGTACATCCCATTGTTGTTCCCAAACCTCCATTAAGCTTTAATACGACAAGTTTGTTCAAAAGCTTTTTGGTTTCCTCTGGATCTGCACTCAGTCAGGTAAATACAACCTTCTTAAGAAAGAGAAGAATGGGATCAAAAATAGGTAGATAATCACCAATATGAGAAGCACATCTTTTCAGTACGGTAATCAAGTACATTAAACTGAACCAAAAAAAGTCCAGAAAATTACCATGAGGCAAGGGTGCTAAGTTATCATAAGGTACAACCACCTTATCTGTAGGAGTCTGGATCTTACTCCACTCAACGTGTTGTGCTTCGCCACTTCAATTCAAAATGCCACAATAAACAAACATTCATTCAAACATATATATGTATAATTGTTTGCTTCCTAATAACTTATATTCTAAACAAAATGATTTCAGATTTTTAAAAATCCAAGACTCATGAAATGAAGAACCTAATCTATAACCAATTCTTTAGCCATCAAACAAAATCATTTAATAGAATTTAATCTTCCTCAACAGAACTTATTAGTCTACAACAAAAGCATTTAAATTACTCGGATCTCTCCATTTCTCAATTCCTTGGCAAAAAAAAAGAACTGGAGGGAAATAATTGTCTAACAGAAGATCCGTATAAAAAGATTTAAAATAGGGAACACAAATAATTTGAAAATTAAGAAATTCAAATGAAACACTTAAAATTTTCAGAAACTGGAAGATGATCGGTCAGATAAGGAAGTTCACTGTACCTGAGATAGCGAGCTACAAGGTTTATGAATCCAGATTTCTCATTCTCACTGCAAATCACCAAAACCAAAACAAAAATCAACTGGACATTCACCACTCAAATCTGTGATACGATGCTTCAAGATGCACCAAAAAAGTCACTTAGAACATCAAAGCGCAGTAAAAGCATCAAAAGAAGAAGAAGAAACATGAAGCTAATAATTGCCTGATTTGATTGAGACCAGCAACAGCAGACTTGAGCTTCGAGAGATTCTCGGTATCAGCGGCGTTCAGAGTAGCAGTAGCCATTGGAAACTAACAGAACTCCTCCGATCTAGAGATGAGAGTTGCAGAGGAATGTTCGAGATTTGATCTAGAGAGGGAGGGAGTGGGGTGTGGGTGTGGTGGAGAGGTGGTGATAATGTGTCTGATTTATATATTTTTGGAGCTTAAAAAAGTGAGATACGAAGAGGTGTTTGCCATTATAATAATAAATAAAAAAATGAGCAGTAAGTGGCACGTAACAGTGGAGGAGGACTGGAGGGAGGAGGCTTTAGCCAACGGATTTAAAAGCGATTTTTTGAGAGACACAAAACAAAACAGTCGGAGAAGAGAAACAGAGGGAGAGAGAATATGCGAATATTAGTGAGGGCAATCGGCGTGATTTGATCATTGAATTGCGCGCCGTCTTGACGCTATGGTCCCGTATTGTTTGCTCCACACGCATTCTATAGTCAGATTCGGTGGGGTGCGTTTGGTAATAGGTAATATTTTATAACTGGAATAAAATATAAATTATCATTCTAACGTTCGATAATTATTTAGGATTAAAATACATTTTATTCTTATATTTGGATAAAAAAAAAAAATTTATTGAAACAGAATAAACTTTGATCAAAATATCTATAATGACTAAAAATAATTAATAATATTTTTTTATGAAATTAAAACTATTATTATGTTGAATTTAATGACTTAATTTTGGTAAAATACACCCCTTAAACACCTATTAATTCAGAAAGTTTTCAATATAATCATAAATAATCACATACCAACAAATTTGCCAATATATACGTATATGTATGAGAAAATTTCATTCACGTTTCTTATAATTAGGTTTAAATTTAATAACACCTCTTTCTAATTCTGAAACTTCACTATATCCTTTCTTAATTTTTATTTTTAAATTAATGATACCACGTTAACAATAACTTTTATCTATGTTAATAGATAAAGTAATGATTTGACTAAGTATTTTATAAAAATGTCAAAATTATCCTTTATTGTGTAAATAGACTAGAATGTCCACAATTTTCCCATTATATATGCTCTAACTAACCAGCAAGCGTGATCTCTATCATTATATTATCTCAATGAATTTTTCATTCATTCATTTGGTTACGTAATCAAATTTTTATAATTTTTATAGTTAAAAATAATTTTTCTATAATAAAAATTACAATCGACAAAGTCAATGTCAAACTCCAATCCATTTTTAACTCCTTTTATATCATTTGTTATCCATAACGTCACCTGACCACATTTCACACATCACCGTTCATATATAAAATTAAAAATTATTTGATAAAATTTAATTTTAATTGAATAAATTTGGTCTTAATTTGATAAATTTAAATATTAATTTGATGTTAATTTGATAAAATTAAATACTAATTTAATATTAATTTGATAAAATCTAATGTTAATTGAATAAATTTGGATGTTGTTTTAATGAAATTGAATGGTCATTTGGTGTTAAATTAAAGAAATGATGGTAATTTGATAAAGTTATATGTTAAAGTAATAAAATTTAATGTTCTATTTAATATATTAAATTTTAATTTAATAAAATTGAATGTCAATTCGGTGTTGATTTGATGAAATTAAATAATAATTTAATATTAAATTAAAAGAAATAATAATAATTTGATGAAATTAAATATTAAATTAACATAACTAAATGCTAATTTGATAAAATCAAATATCAATCTTGTGTTGATTTGATGAGATGGAATGTTAATGTAGTTTAAATTAAATAAAAGATATTAATTTGATAAAATTAAATTTAATTGATCAACATAAAGACTAATATCATAGAATTAAAAGATAGTACATTAAAATTTCAAAATAAGGAGGAGGTGTTGTTAAACTTAGGTCTATTAATAAGGGGTGTGAATAATATTTACCATTTAAAATACTTAGGGGTATTTATGTAAATCAATCATCGTCGTTAACGCCGTAATCCGACAATCACCTACAAAAGGTGACAGTTAAATTTTAAAATAAAAAGGGGTATTATTGAATTTAAACCTAACTATAAGGGTGTGAATGAAAAATTCCCTATATATATCCAAATTTAGTGGTAAATATCAACTAATAAAAACACAAACGGTACAATTAAATTTGTTCGTTATCCAGTATCTTACATAATACAAATATGTTTTTTCATCTAATATCTCCACCATAATAACAGTTGGGGCTTTCTTCTCTCTCTTTAATTTTGTCATCACATTAGTTGAAAGCCTATCTTTATTAGTAGGTTGATCCTTTCCAAACTTGATATAGAAGTCATCGTGTCTTATGCTCAAACCACACTATTAAGCCAATTTTAATACCCCTTGAAGAGGTGGTATTGGTAATATAGTGCATCTGTATTAGTTTATATTTTACTAGTTTACCCATCAAATTAACAAAAGTATTAATAACTAGATTAGATTGATGATTTTTTTATCAATATGTAATTAATACTTTATTATCTCACTCTTACCCAACATTAGAATACAATGGGTATTATTTTTATCTCACATTTAATCTTATATTTTATCCGCTTATACATAATTAGTCCGTATTGATTAATACAATCCTTTAATATACAATATGGTAGCCAAACAAGCACTACAAATACACAATATTTTCACAATCCTTGTTGTTTGGTTTAAACCATGTCTATTAGGGGTAGCACTATGTACCCTCATTCTATTTTTTTTTCCCATTCTAATAACTAAGGGGCATAAAAAAAATGTGTATTTGGTACAAGCACTCCAAAAGATGATAACTTCATTCAAATAAGTGATAACATAACCTTAAAAACTCATAAATCCTTTCCAAAAGGTGATAATGTCACCTTAAAATGTTATAACTACACACAAAATGTGATAATTTCATCACAAAAAGGTAGCTATTTCAATCTAAAAAAGGGAGAGTGAAACCAAAATGCCGTAGCATAACCCCAAAAACTATAACTTTGAATCCCAAACAAATGGATCGATCCTAAATAAATTTAAAGCAATACTTGATGGATCTGAGTTATTTTGGATCGATCCAAACAAAAAAAAAAAAAGAAAACCATTAAACAAATTCTAAACATTTGGGTTGTACCTTGGGTTTTTTGATGTTTGGACAATCAAACATAATTTTGAGGGGTTTTTTTATGTATGGATCGATCTTTTGGAGTGATATTACATTTTCAAAAGGACTAACGAATTTTTAGGGTGATGTTTATTATCTTTTCGGGTGCCCTTACCAAAAAAAATTTTTTTTTTTGGGTGAAGCCACACATTTTGGGGATGTTTCCTTATTTTTTGGTATGAGACCAAAAGTAGGAAAACATATTCAGTACAACGGTGATACTGCGTCAGTATTGTCATATGATATAATCAACCAATAACATGCAAACAAATAAGAAAGTAAATTCTATACAAGTCAATAACTACCCCGTCATATAAGAAAATAATTACTCACTCTTCTTCCATGCAAGCTAATAACTATTTAGGCGGGGTTCACTGTGTCCATTCAAAATTTTATTATTGATTGATAATATCGTGTCATCAATGTTGACACGATATCACCGTTATGTTGATATTCAAATAGAGTTTAGTTATTTAAAGACTACGAGAAATTTATAATTTTTTGAAGTATAAGTTAAATATAAAAAACTTGATCGCTATTAAAATACTATGATCGATCATGAAAGTTATATAAATTTTAAAGATAAAATTACATTTTTTAAAAGTCAAGTTACACTTTTTAAAAGTGAAGTTACAACTAATTAAAAATATTCATAATTGACCACAAACATTTCATTATTGATTATGAATTACCTCTAGTAGCAACTTGACATTTTATAGGTATAAATTCACCTCAAAAAATAATAACTTTTGGTACAACACAAAAAAAAATAATAAAAAAAATTTGTTATTATAAGATTACCATCTATCAACACGAGACTTCGCACAAAAAATTATATTTTTTTAATATTCAATTATAATTTCCTTGGGTATAATTTAGGGCATAACACAAAAGAATATGATAATTCATGAAAGTTATGATTTTTGAAGATCAAATTACAAATTGGCCAAGTTTTAACTGAATTACGCCATTTATAATCGATCACAAGAAGATATTCTTTGATCGATCATGAATAAATTCAATTAGTTATAACTTTTCTTTTAAAACGACCATTAAAAATAATAACATCCGGTACAATATTAAACTTCTTTTTTTTTCAGATTTCTATCTGAATCTGGACAGTATTTATTAATCAAATAGAAATTAATACTTTTAATTTCCAATTCAAATCTAAACCCGATGTTTGATAATTTTGAGAAATTGAATGTTGTGACTGTACTTATGCCTAAAAAAAATCAGTTATCAACATGGCCATGCAAACGGACAATTCTTTCATCATCTCAATAATAGAGCCAACAGAACATGGAAGAAATTTTCGTTATGCTTCACCTGATAGGGGTGTGACTGTCTCACATTTGTTCTCTAATCTAAACCAGCCCATAGCTTGATGGATAATGGCAAAGAAAAATGTCTGGACATAATGCTTCCTTCTAGTCTTAATTTTGCAGATAGGACACTGCACACTAACCTTGGTGGAAAGACTCAGAAATAAAAGCCCAGTAGAAATGACAATGCAGTCATAAATGAACAAAACTAAACAGATTTATAATTCAGATATAAAAAGGAAGACAAAGGAGGAGAATGAGAAGGAATACAAAAGCTAATCCCAGACATGTGAGAGAATTTCAAAAAATTACACGGGGAAGTCAGAGCCAATATATCTCAACAATTGAAGAAAACCAAAAAAAGGTCGGCCGCCTTGATGCCTTAGTCTCAGGAACTCAACCCTCCTCATGAGGTAAAGAATGGCTAATAAGCCTTTCATATCGAACATTTGTAACCAACTGTGAACACATAGCTCCTAACAAAAACATAGCTACATTGAGGGAAACACTATAGACAAAGGCGAATTCTTTGCTCTTGCCTCTCTTCACTAGTTACAATCAATGACCGGGTATCCCTATCTTCTAAACATCTCTTATAGGGCACAAACCCCTTTGCACACTTACCAGGGCTAGTTCTTTGAACCAGAAAGACTGTTTCCTCACTTGGTTTGAAAGCCAATTCTAGTTTTTGCATAATCTCCTCCTCAGAAGAAGAAAGTTGGCAGCCTTGGGTCTCAAAATCCCAATTTTTCTTGCCATTTTCCCCTGTTTTTGCTGATCGGGTGTTTGAAACAGTCCAAGACCCTTCTTTTGGAGTTTCGTTATCTTGATCCTCTTTCCTATCAGAATAAAAATACGCTTTCAAAGTGACAGGGTTATGCAATTGTGAGAAAGGAGATGGTACGCCTGCGGAAAAATTCCACCACTGCACAGGAATAGATCCAGCTTCTATGAGACCTGAGTTTTCATTTGGGACTTGCTCAAAATAGGGTGCTACAGATACTCCACAATGTGAAGCACTTGTGTGCATTGAGTTCCAAGGCAATGTCTGCATGGCCGGAGAAGATGGCCTATGGGAATCTGCGATTAACACGGTCTTCCCAAAGAGCTTCAAACCCTTGGTTGATGTTGCCTCAGTTGAACTTTCTTTAGCTAAATAATCATCTTGGCGAAACAACTCCAACTTCTGGACATATTTGACCAAAGGAACCAATTGAACAAATGTCCAGTCAAGTCAAAAAATTATTAAAATTACCAACACAAAGCAAGAGCTGAACACAGAGGAATGAGTACCATGGCAACCTGTTCATTTGGAATTGAAGTGGGATTTATTTGGGAAGGTGATGATGATCCAGTTTCTTCTTGTGACGAATTAGGTCCAGATAAGCAGCAGCCTCCAGGGTTAAAACCAGTAGCAAATGAAACTGGTGATGGGCTACCATTTGGTGTTGAATCAGTTGTAACTAGAGTGTCTGAACCACTGGTAGACAACACCGAAGTAGGAGATTGGGTTTCTTGTACTGATAGTGAGAAGGTAGGAGATGTTAATCTTGTTGGTTGCTCGAGAGTTGGATTTCTTATCTTGACTGGGGTTACCAATTTCCGAGGATACGGATGCATAGGTTTTCTTTTTGGACGAGGAGGAGGAATCTCAATCAGTTTCGGTGAGCTTGCATCATTGCTACTCGAGTCACGAACCACCTAATCATAGAGAAACAGTGTTTGGGATCAGAATGACACTGATTATGAAATGTATTAAACCTTACTAAGGTTTGCACAACCTTGCGTCTTCAAAATTTAACTTACTTCAAATGAGGGCATATAGAAGTAATGGTAGAAAAAGGGTACTGGAATAAGAACAGTAAACCTTAGAGAAGAATTTTTGAGCATGACTTCTTATCTGAACTGCAGTTTTGGTGCCCACATGTTCTGCAGGAAACCGAAGTCATTTCAGTGTTTTTTATCATAGCCGGGGTGTGCTAAATAAAAGCATGGACATTAATGAAAACTTTACCTTCAATGCATCGCCAATTCCGACCGTACAATTTTAAGGCTTCTAGAAACTTTTTGTGCTCTTCTTCTGTCCATCTTTCTCTCTGTTTTGTTATTGTGTACGGTTTCCTCGTCTATTGGAACAAAAATCAGAAGGAAGAAAAACAATACAAATAAAAGTCAATGAAGATGCAGTACTGTCTATTGCTTAGAAACAAATAAACCACAGAACGCACACAAACCTTTGGAGCATAATCATCACCAGATACAATTTGCTTGTTTAGGTGAAGATCTTTCAAAGAATGTGAGCCAGCATCCCAAGAAAATTGATCTGCTTGCTGGAAAGCCACCTTTGACAGATTGTCTCCACTTTGATCCTATAATAAAAGGGAAGTAACCAACAATGAGAAGAAAAGTGTCATGACTTGCACAAATCTCTGCACACTGTCCAGACTCCCAAACTACTAGCTAAATAACTGAGTTAAAATGCATTCCCCAACAGCAAATGCCATGAAAATTTTAGAACTTCCAACTTCACTGAAAAATACACAATTTGAGGACATACCTTTTAATTAACAAGGGTAGAATTTAGATTTTGGCAGACCTTTACACTTGTTCAGTTTATAAATTCTCATAAAAATTGATATACAAACATGCCTCAACTTCATCTGTAGGATTTTTTTTTTCAAATACAATTGAAAATCTGGCAAGAATTTGTGATTGCGATGGTTTCCATCCTTTGTTTTGATATTGATTCAAACCATTTTGTTATTTTGCAAGAATAAATTTACACCAACACAAATTAAGAGCTGTTATTCACCACCTACTTAATGCCTCGGGTATAAACATGGTAAGATCACCCCTAGTTTTGTAAGGTGGGACTATAAATGTCCATCCCCACCCATTAATGACTAAATCTACCCCTTTCTGCGTCAACTCCATTACTAATTAAACTCATCCCAAACTACACCCACCACATCTTCATGCCAAATATGTTATTTCCACCCTCCACAATTCTTAATCATAACAAATAATCTTCCCTTCTTGCTGCCCGAACTAATTTTGCAGTTAGGCAAGGGAGTTAATACATCTATAACCTCAGCTTCATGACAGTAGGCCTCTTTAATGAATGTAGATATTTTCCAGCAGCTGTTGTGGTTATTAAGTATATTCCTGCATTTCTGCTATAGTATAAGAACTGATAACAACTATCATAATGCTCTCATGGGAATTATTGAGAAAAAAAATGGCTGTGAAAGATCTTTCCTTCCACATTATAAGTCGCTCACCAGTCTCACACAAATTTCTTCTATTTCTTCAATTTGTTCGCCAGCACTTTCTTCCATCCATCAAAATTGTTCCATGAATATTTTCATCATCATTTTCATAGCATTCCACTCTACTGGGTAACGAAAACTCATCCATGGAACAAACTTGGACATTCCTACGCTCTGTTAAACTTGAACATTCATATGCTCTGGCATTGAAACAAATATCATATCCTTCTAGGTTGCACGGATAAGCTTGTCAAGGACATGACGGTGGATTAAGGTGGGCTAAGTCGGAGTGGAGTTGGTTACTAAAAGGGTGGGAATGGAACAGATCAATGATGACATGGTATAACCATTGTATTGTATTCTCTCAGGGTAGGGATAGCCCCACCCAATTTTGTATTGTATTCCTGAGAGAAACACCAATGGTCCGCAGGCCAGACACACTGTTCATACATTCGCATTTCCGAGGACTCCACCTTATAACACGAACACTTGCATAGTTACGCTCTTACCCACGTTTTTTTTTTTTTTTGGGTTAGGCACTATTATAGGGAGGGGATGAAAACCCGCAACCAGCGGTACTAAGGTCCAACAGCGGAGGCAGTACATGATGCGGGCAAGTAGATCATTTAAACATTAAGCAAAACATTAGATATAACTTGACATGTGTGTAATTGTGTATAAGCGAAGCATACTGGCTTATTACATACCTGTTCAGCCATGGCCGCAGAAACCATCAATCCTTCCGAATCACCCTTACTCAGTCCTTCACCCCCACCCCCCAGCCAAAAAAAAACCCTCAAAAATTCCAGAAATGGTACCGAAGACAACTTTACTCTTTCCCAGAATCAATTTCCAATGAAATATAAATATCAGAGCTTCCTTTTCCAACGGTGAACCAATGAACTGTAACCAGAGAAAAACTTCAAAAATCTCTTGATTTCAAGTGGAAAAGAAGTAGAAAAGAAGGAGAAAAAATGGGTATATAGACCACATAAATTTACCAGGAATGAAAGACTTAAAACAGGAAATTTACTGGAGAACAAAAAGAATAGATGGTTTCTAGTAAAACAAGAGTAACTGAACAGGGGTTGAATCCAGAGACCCTTCTCAATAACCAGAGACAGCTCGAAACCTTGGTTTTCCCGTGAAATTAATAAGGGAAAACCAAACACTAAGAAGCCTTAATTCTCCGGGAAGCAGACAGAGAAAGTAGAAAGAGCCTAAGAGGGTTTGTGGAAAAAGATGAATGACGCTTCAAGACTCTGAATTCTGAAGGAAGAGAGAGAGAGAGAGAGAGAGAGAGAGAACAGAAAAGTTTGTTGGGGCTTGAAGGGAAAAAGAAGAAAGAGGGGGTGCCACGTTAGAGGGTAATTCAGTAAATTGAGTATTATGTTTTTATTTTTTTTGTATTTCTGGTAGAAATGTCGAGAAATTGGTGGAATCTTGTGGCTCACATTGAAAGAGAGGCTGGCCACGTGGCCATAGTGTGACAACCACAACCACATGTCAAGTTTTTGGTGGCTACCTTTTTTTTGTTTTTTTTTTTTTAAACATCACACTGCATAAAAATCGCCACACTAGTGGTAAAGTGCCTTCACTTACGTTTCCTTTCTTACACATTCTTTTTAATTTCCTTTGATATAGTTTTAAAAGAATGACATGTATAAAATTTTAAATTTTAATGAATAAAATATTTTTTTATTTATTTTGTTATTAGTGGAGTGTCAATCATTATTAAAGAATTTTTTCATAAAAAAAAAATCTTATTTATTAAAATTCAAAATCTTATATATATCACTATGCATTGAAGAGAATTAAAAAAAAAGATTATACAAAGAATCGGAATCTAGTGGTAAACCCTTGATAATTTTTGACATGATTTACAAATTAAACTAGTGTGTCTTGCGTAAATTATATTTTTTTAAATATATGTATTGAGTTATTCAGATTAAAAATAAAATTTAAATAAGTTACAGTAAGTAAAAGATTAAAAAATAAATTTTAAATGAGTTATTGTAATTAAAAAATTAAAATTTAAATCTTAATATAAATCGTCGAATTTAAACGTTCTGGATTCTGGCCTATTATTATTCTTTTCTAAGTTAGGAGCTTAAACACAAGAGGTTATGTTTTATTATTATAAATTTAAAATTAACATAAATTTAGGAGGTTTGAGTTAATTTTTAGCAAATTTGATTGATAAATAAATAGATCTGTTAAATTCGTTAAATAAATATATTGCACAAAATATATTATATATAATATAAATTTGTTAAAATGAATTATATAAGATTTACGGATGTAATAAATTTAAGTACACACGAATATGAGTTAAATAAATGTTGATATAATTTAAATAAAAAAAATATAAGAAACGACACTACATTGACAATCTAAAAAATACGTGCACATATAAATATCCTTGTGAATTATTCATATTTTTTGTATATAAAAATTGAAGAGGAGAAAGCAAAATATCTTCACATCTAAAAAAACGGGAGAGAAAGAGAGTAAGCAGAGGCCAAGACTTGTGGATGAAAAAATAAAAAGAATGCAATTTGGGTGTGGGTCAAAAATCACTAACTTGAATTGAATTAGGACTATTTTCAAGTTGAGATTTTGAGTTTGTAGGTTCAATCCGAATTTAAACTACAATACTAAAGTATGTTTATTTAAGTATTTTGATAGTGCACAAAAGTGAATTTATGCACCACTTGTCAAGTACTTAATATTGATAATAAATACAGTAAATATAAAGATGATTAATGAATGAGACAAATATTGGATCAACACAAGTAACATATAAATATATAGTAGTTCGGTCAAGATAACCTATTTCACTTTAAAGACGACAATGGTAGCTGATGGTTTTTATTGATAAAGTAATAGGTGAGAGAGATAGAGAGATAGCATGAGTATATTCTTGGTAGCTATGAGAAAGATAGTTGTATATAGAGATACACTTCTCATATGGAGAAGACTTATAATTTATAGGTACAGAACCTTAGTTGAGGCGATAACGTAAAGAGGTGACTAGTCATTCAAAGTGGATAGCTCCAGTTAAGGATTGATACAATCAGAAATAGTCTTGATCTTGGAGAGTGACTATTTCGGTAATTACTCCTCATGTGTACTAATCTTCTTGGACTCCTTGAACTTTGGATTATGCCAGATCTATGAACTGGGCTTGACCTGCCTTATAGCTAATTTGAGCTCACTTATTTAATCGGGCTTGACCCAGTTAAATCTGGGCTCATCATATTTAAGCATCAAACAAAAATTATATAATAAAGTATAAAGCGTTTTGAATTACCTAACTTATCTCAAGTGTGTTGTGGCTCAGATCAATTCTGAGTAAAAAAGAGATTAAATCTAATGGACTTTGTTATCTTGAGTTTTTAGTGTCTTAAAGTATTTCAAAAATATTAATTCGATAAATTAAATTCACCCCTAAATTTTATTTTTCTGCCCATACCAATTTTCATTTTTTTTTATTCGCCAAAGTTAGGCCTATGCCGTCCCCCAAAAATAATATCTCTTTAGATCATTGCAAAATATATCATCTTTGTCTGTTAAGAAAATATTGAGTATAATTGTGACACTACGTCATTAATGTCACGTAGTGTTACCACGCGGTGCTGTATGTGGTATAGGTGTAGGCTCATTGTGGAGGTCATGATGGAGATGATGGTCCTCTCGAACAACCTTGAGGCAGGTGGAGCCAATAGACCGTGCGTCACAGAGTGCTTGTACATGTGCTATGTCCATCCCATCCTCAGGGGCATCATGTGCAAGATGATGAATCTGTACAAGTGTATGCTCTTGTAAATGTAAAAAAAATTACTTTACCCAAAAATTAAGTATGCAGTTGTATTTAATGTATATTAATCGATGAACATATGTATTAAACTTACTAATAGCTTGACGATGCTACCCATAGGCTAGAATTCGAGAAGTGGCCTATCTAATAGAGGTTCGATTAAGCGTCAAGTGATACGGCCGTACCAAACCATGTATGAGTCATTCACATCGATCACTCATATAATTGCCTCCCTTGCGATAAGATGCTCCCACCAATGGACCCATTCATCTACTAAAGACTGATGTACAACACTCTAGTCATAACCTGTCCTATTGCGTCAATCCGTAGCATGAAGTGCAATCCCAGTGTAGCATGGCTACGATATAAGTTGTCTCCAGCCAAATTGTATCATGACACGCCCAAGAAAATGCCACTCCATTACCGCGAAACAGATAAATGATGCACGTGTCATCCATACGTTGCTCCCCGTCGTGCAGTATGTTGATAAGTCTAATATGACATTTGACACATATGACATCCACACCATCTAAAATAATACAAATAAACAAATTTAACATAAGTCTTAGTGCGTTTCAAATTAAATGTGAGTATGACCACGTATCAAATTCCAACCTAGTCATCACACGTCTAATCTAACTATCTTTATAATGTTGGAGGACGTGTCTCGAGCTGTGTATGTATGAGGTCATACATACATTCCACCTTTATCATAAAATAGAGAATATTACATGTACAAATATTTATCATATTACTTTTAAATTCATTGTATACTTGCAACCCAAAAGACCCCGAGCTAATAGGTCATGATGCTCATCCATCCCCTCGATAGACTCCACAACAACAGAAACCTCTACTACCTCATCGGTCCATCGTGATGTACTTAGTATCTTTGTTGCTGCTGTTACTGGCTAATGTGGGAGTACTTTATCCAATTGGATGTGAGTAAGTCGCTCCCATGCCCATAACTGTTCAATTCAACATATTATTTAGTAATGATGACAGACAAGTAAATGCATTAAATTTGTCAAATAAAGTAAATAGTACCTATAATACAATTAGTGGTCCTCCAATGTCGTATACATGTAGGGCAGTGGCATGACACATCTCTCGGTATAGACACACTAGAGCAGTAGTACTCTAACTTAGCCTCCCTAAAACATCTAGGTCTTCAAGATGCTATAAGTACAGAAGGCCCACTTTGTTTTGCAACTTGTCTAGAAAAAACATATGCCCCAAGAGAAACAGAATGTAGGCATGGACATATCGGTCAATGGTGATTGCATCAGTATCATCATGGAGCGGCTCAACAAATAGAGCAGTTAAGGTGGTCATCTTAAGTCTAGAACTAGCAAAAATAGTCTCTGATGGTCTAACAGTACTATTCGTTAATGGTCAGCCTGGATAGTACTGTTATGTCTTGTAAAGTTATAGTCGCCTTGTCAATAGGTAGATGGAATGTATGTGTCTTCACCCTCCACCGCTTGACTAGTGTAGTGACAAAATGTTATCGAGTTGTACAAATTCAATACTATGTACCCCGTAAAACCTGACATTCAAGACCCAACACAATACTCTATCATCAGAATGTCGCAGTCGCCTCATCTTGACAACACTTTAATGGTGAAAATTCCTTCAACAATTATGTAAAGTCATTCAAATGAAGTTGGTTGTTAATTATAATATATGTAATATAGTCACAAAAATATGTGTTTGTCCCTCCCATATCTGTGTGGACCGATGGTGAGCCTTTAAGTATAATACTGACGTGTCAACAAGTCTTGGGTGTACTAAGTTACGAGCTTGTTGACGCTCCATACCTGAATTCCATTAAATTAAATGCCACAAAGACACTCTTACTAGAGCAATAATAAATGACTCATGTTGTTATATATACACAAAATAGAGAATATTCATTCGTATGTAGCGGTTTTAATACAAGTAAGCACAACTACTTCTTAAAATGAAGTTTATACTTCATATTATTTATCAGACAAGTCATCCGATGCGTACTATTCATTACTCAATACATTATTACGCTCTACTGATGATATGCCTCATCCATATACACTTCCTACTATGTCCGTTACAAGTTAGAGCATATAATATCGACACTTATGCACCAACATTCTATTATTCTCCTTCCTTATTTTGTAATTTACTTTATTCCTGCTTTGCATCATTAGCGATCGTCGACGTGGAATTGGTATAGCAATCAATCTTAGCGGAGTGCATAATTTGTCTGATTCATTAACACAAACTATCCATTCTCGTCTTACTTCAACGTAAAATTCTTTTAGATTAGTAAATTTCTCATTTTTGTAATCATTTTTCGGCTCTCTTCCAACAGCCAAACCCTTTGAAATTAATCACAAAATTAACAAAAATTGTAAAATTTGAAGATATGGCATCAAAATTTCTTTTTCGGTACCATAGTTTTGTCCCTACAACATGAAATCTGAATTAAGCTCCTGAAATATCTCCAGAGCGTTGAATAATGTTAATGAAGTGGCTAAATTTGGAAAACCAGAAGTTAAGAGGTACTAAAGAGAAATGGATCCTGTTTTGCCAGTGTTTGGCCAAGTATGGTTTGTTTTGCTACTAAACCATGTGAAGCATGAGGACAAGTTAGCAAAGCTGGTGACCTACCCAAATTTTGAGTACAAAAATGCCCGTTAGACGATGACGACATCAAACTTGGAATGCATAATAGTTGAAATGGTCAATGAATAAAATTTCTTCATCCTTTTCTGTTGCATTATGAACCAATTTTCAATTCAAATTGTACTGTTTTATTCTTAATTAGCTGGCTAAAGAGAAGCTTCTGAAAGTCTGTAGCTCTTGACTTAAGGGGGTGAGAGGCATCATAAATTCTCGAGGACTGTTGCCCACATGCCATGTTGTTTCCCCAAGTGGCATTTAATGAGAAATTGTCCGTGTCTAAAAATATATTTTTTCTTAAAAAAAAGAGGCACGGTTTAATACACAAAAAAAATAAATTAATAATTACAAGAATATCATCTATCAAAAATTAAGATTAAAATTCAGCAAGTTTATCTTATAACTAAAAAACAAATTATTCAGCATCTCTAATAGAAAGAGATAGGAGAGAGAGAGGGACGCTTTGATTAGCGTGAAAATGCTGGGACTGAATAATCTTAACCACTTTTGTAATAGGCTAACTTATATATTCAAAATTAGTTCTATCTTATTAGTATAAATGATTGTGGTTTTCAAGTATGGGGAAAATTTTTGTTAGAGATGATTATGAATCATTGGATTGAATGAATTTAGCTACTTTTGTGGAAGGGTAACTTAAAGATTTAAAATCAGTTCTATCTTATTATTATAGATTACCAAGTTATCTTGATATTTTATTTGTAAAAAGATGATATTTCGACAAAAGAGAAAATGTTTTGAAAATAATTAAAAAATAAAAAAATAGATTTTTTTTTAGACATTGATCAAAATTACTTTAAACATTTCCGAACGTACAAATTTTAATATTTAATCATTAATTTGTTTCAATCGGTAAAAAAATGAAAATTTTGATCCTTGAAGATGAAGAAAGAATTGTTGAATTTGTGGCCTGGCTGAATTGGAAACAATCTTTAAGATCTTCCCAGAACTAGGAGTCTTTTTTGAAATGTCACTGGCTTGGCTTGACTTTTGTTCCATTGATATTGTAAAGATTGGGACATTTCCGGCATTAAGCTATGCTTCCAAATATACTAAAACGACAAAGAGGGGTGATCATACCAAAGCTCCTTTGGTGGAGCAACCAAACAGCCTGCATTGGAATTTCAAGTCCATTTGGCTGGCTTTGCTACATATAGAACAACTCTTTACTCATTCTACATTCACAGGAGAGAGAGAGAGAGAGAGAGATCACAGGAAAGATGTCAACAGATGAGGTTGTTCTCTTGGATTTCTGGGTGAGCCCATTCTGCCTGAGGGCCAAAATTGCATTGGCTGAGAAAGGTGTAGCCTTTGTGGAGCAAGAGGAAGACTTGTTTGGAGGCAAGAGTGAGTTGCTTCTCAAATCAAACCCAGTCTACCAGAAAGTGCCTGTGCTTTTGCACAATGGAAAACCCATGTGCGAATCCACTATCATCGTGCACTACATTGATGAGACTTGGCCTTCTCCACCATTGCTCCCAACTTGTCCATATGAACGGGCCCGGGCTCGGTTCTGGGCCGACTTCATCGATAAAAAGGTAAAATTTCGATTTCTGTTTCATTGCTTTGACACACTTTCATACTGAATGCTTTAATTTTTGTGAAGTTGCAGTCGAGTGCGGCGTTAGAAGGTTTGAGTTATCCCGTTGTTGTAACTATTCACGATTATAACTGAGTCACGATTTTAGTCAAATTTCTATGCAAAACCGAGTAAAAGTTTGAATCATGATCGGGGATGACCTTACTATATATATTTAGCTAGCATTGGTCCATGGTTGGTGACACTTTTACTGTGTAGGTATTTGAAGCTGGTGGCAAAACATGGCAGAGCAAAGGAGAAGAGAAAGAGGTGGCGAAAAAAGAATTTCTTGAGATTCTGAAGGTACTAGAGGGAGCCTTGGGGGAGAAAGATTACTTTGGTGGTGATAGCTTTGGATTTGTGGACATCATAGCCATCCCTCTCACCTCTTGGTTCGATTCCTGCGAAAAATTCGGGTTATTTAAGATTGAGGAACACTGCCCCAAATTCTCAGCTTGGATGAAGAGGTGTTTGAAGAGAGAAACTGTTGCCAAAGTTCTTCCAAACCCAGAAAAGGTCCTTGAGTTTGTCACCTCTATGAGGAAGATGCATGGCGTTGAGTAGTCTGTGGGTTTTGGGCACTTGGTTTTCTCTCTCTAGAAGGGGAAAATAAGAGAGGAAAATAATCATTTTCCTTGATCTACCTTTGCTTTTTGTATTTGAAAGAAAGGGATAATGAGTCCTGCCAGGCATGGTCCTTAAGTAGTTTCTTTCCTGTTGACCTAATGTTCCTGCGTTACAAATCATACATGATTTGTCATCAGTAAAATTCTCGCTCTCTCCAGAAAAAAAAAAAAGAAAATATATTACTAAAAAAAAAAGAAAATTACTTTCAGAAACATTCTAAAATTTTATGATGAAGAGATTTCATTAGGAAAGAGTATAACAAAAGAGCAATGCTACATGGACTCACTGTTTACATTGGTCATAAAACAAACTTAATGGCCTGTTTAGTAAAAGGTACGAGGGTTTGGTAAAATGAGTTTAAAGAAAATAGTTTAAAGTACTCTCAAATCCCATATGTTGGATTGAAAATTCAATCATAAGTTCTCAAATCCGACCCGTAATTAGTTGGAATATTAAACCTATGATCTTGAGTTTCGTCAAATCTAGGGGGAGATGTGTTTGGAAAGATGGGTTAAGGAGTTAAGAATAGAAAAGACAATTGTACCCCTTAATATGAGTATGAATTGGATTGATCAAGAATAAATAATAATTTATAGGACAAATAAGTTATTAATAATTATAATATATTTGTAGATCCTACATGTATATGCGTTGCATATCAAATATGACTATGAATCAGATTCAATGTTAAATCTCATCTTTGTAAGGAGGAATTTGAGTTTGGAAGAATTTGGGACAATCAATCCAAACTCTCCCTAAAAATTTATATTTTATCTATTTTTTCAATTTTCTATCATTTTATTTTTTTTCATTATACCAAACAAAGTATTACTGATATTCATTTGGATAGAGTAGTTCTCCAGCAATAGGTTGCACCACATGCAGATGCCTTGCACTAGACCAGGATTACCTGCTAGGCGATTGGGTTCATGGACGGGGACTGGGATTATAACCTAAGAGAGGCCAGATAATTCAGAGTCAAAAAATTTATTCAATAGGATTATTCAACTAGCTAGCGATAATAATAATAATAATTAGTAAGACTGCTTATCAAAATCAACTTTCATGCAATATAATATGATGCTAAAATTTAGTTTGGGTCAAAAAAATTAAAAAGTTTTCATCATAAAAGTTAGAATATGAAAATTTCAATCTCCACTTAAGTCTTTCATTTTATGATATAATGCAATGACTATGAATAAATGATTTTTATAAATAATAGTTTCACACAATTCCATAATAAAAATAAATCATGGGTCAATGTGTTATTTTCAATATATGTCAAATTTGTGAATTGATCTGCAGTAATTTTACTGGGTTTTTCCTTTGGTCCATTCATGTAATTTCATTTGGTTATTAAATGACAAAATGCTAATTTTTTTTTAATACTAAGTATAAATACACTTACCTACGATTTTTTCTACATATAAAGAGAAGCATAAGGTATTTTGAAAATGAGAGGGACAATCCAATTCGAAAAAAAAAAAGAGGAACCATGATCCCCTTGGCCAATGCACAATGTTGACGCAGAGACCAACTGGGTCACATCATGTTGAGCAACGAAAGTTGACTACCCATTGTAATAGTTGTAGATGGTATGATTGCTCTATACAGTTGACAACCTAATACAGCTACCAAGGTGAAACTTGGGGCGGGTTAGGATGGATCGGGGGATCAACCAAGCGCAATTCAACTAATGAAAACTTGCACCTGAGTTCAATCCAAATCCGGCTCAAGTATTGCACATGTTGATTTTTTTTTTTGCACTTAGGTTGAAATCAGCTTAGGTAAAATGTTTTGGGCTTAATTTGGGGTTATCTTGAGTTCATAATTGCCACCACGATCCTCCTCTCCCCTCACCGTGATGGTACTATGATTGCTATTCCCTCCAAAGTGTTTCATTGTCATTCAATCTCGCATTAGGTGGCTTTTGGTTCATGTGATTCTGAGGTCAATTGATTTACACCAAAGAGCACAATATAATCAGGTGGATTTTTTAGAACATTTGAGAGACAGAAAAAGGGGGGGGGGGGGGGGGGGGGGTGTTGATAGCTGGGGTTGGGTCGCGTGGGTGTGGGGTGGGGGTATTGTTTTAGGTGGGGGATGCTTGTTTTTTTTTGATCAGGGGGGATGCTTGTCAGGAGTTGGATTTACAGTTGGTCGTTTTGTGGGAATTTGCCGCAAAGTGGGGGGAGCAGCTTGTCGTGGTTAAGAGGTTTGGTGGGTGTGTTGGGGGTAGAATAGGCAGTGCCGCTGGGATTGGGTATTGGAGGTGGGGCGTTAATTTTTGATCCGATGTGTTAATACAATATGAATTAAATATAAATTTAATAGATTAAACACGAAATTAATAGGTTAAACACAAAATTAAATGGTTTAATGAGAAAAAACAGGTCAAACATGTTTAAAAGTGAAATGTGTGTTAGATTCAGGTATAAATCGGATTGACTCAATTTTAACATGATTAACCCATATATTTTAAATGGGTTAACTTGATTTGAACTTAAATTCGACATAATCCGTTATAAACCTGTTTAACCGTTTATCAAAGTATATAAAGCAAATAAAAACTTAACCCTAAACTCATATCATTTCCTCTCCACTTAAACATGTAATTTTATATGTGTTAACTCGAACACGACTCGTAGGCTAAACAAGTTAAATAAGTTGGGTTCAAGTAACTTGTTCAATGGTTGGTTCAAATTAGAGTTTAGACAACTCGATACGATTAATTAAATGTGTTAGGCTAGGGTTTGAGGTTTTTTTATATGCGCCCTAAATAGATCCAATACGATTAACCTAATATCACACATTTTGACACCCCTAATTGGAGGAGAGGGTAATTACTTACCCTTTTTTTTTAATTTTTTGGCAATCGAAGGGGCGGGGAAGGACGACTAGTAGGTAGTAACCTATGAGCATGACCATAAGGTCTTTCCAATGAAATGTCCCGTTTGAACCATAACTATTAACACGAAATGGTAATCTATCAACACAACACCACCAAACTGTATTATTCTCTTGAATTAAAGTCTGCTTGATAACCACAAAGGATTTAAAGGCAACCCTAAACGAGTATAATTTATCATTAGACCACTAGCTTGGATGATGAGGGTAATTACTTGTAGAGATTGTTTTATTTAGGGGTTAAATGGAACTTATAAAAATTATTATATTTTTATATGAAAATTATGGTAGGGCAATTTGAAAATTTTGTACAAAGATTGATGGACCAAGCTCAAGAGGTCCAAATCCATGTTGAAAGCCCATTCATGATTAAGGGCTCAAAATTATGAAGACCCAGCTGGCCCAACGAGGTCCAAGCCCAATCAAACTCATCAACTTGGCTATGTCATCAAGAGAGCTCAAGAGCTTCACTTGCACCACCTTGAAAATCGTCAAATCTCACCTCATCCTTTGAGCGAGTCTCATGGAGAGCGCCACAACCACTTCGCACGTTGAGGAGAAGTCATGAACTCCACCAGAATAGTTATGTAGTTGCTATTAAGTCGTCCCAACATTTGGGGGCATGATCATCATCAACACACTCTCACCTGAGCACAATTTTTCTTTCCCTCTCAAAGTTTGTACTCTCTGCTCTCCAAGTACTCCTGAATTAATAAAATATCCGACAACCAAAGTCATTTAAAAGTGAACGTAGGTCACGTAGACCGAACCACTATAAATCTTATCTCCTCCGTCTCTATTTACTTTTAATTACTGCATTTATTTTTAATCACTTGACAGATGATATGCAAAGTCATTTTGTAGATGATATGCAAAGTCATTTTGTACATTATCAAAGGTGTACCGATGTCACGGTCAAAAGAATTGATTTGGTGGTCCCAACAAAGAAAAAGGGCATTTAATTTTGACGGGTCTTTCATGAATACTACTGATTTAGGTTTAAGTGCCACGCGAGCATATACTTTAAAGGATCCATGTGTAATTTTTTATACTTAAGAGAATCTGTCTTGACAAATTTCAGGTGGGTTGAATATAATTTTCCCATAAAACTAACCAAAAACATTCGATACATGTACATTCGTCCAAACAGGGTAAATGAGTCACGCATATTGCGATAAACCCAGCTGGGACTCTTCTTAGAATGCAAAAAGCTTCACGCCAATTAGCAACTCCCTCCAACCAGGACACGAGCAAGGCCCTCTTCAAACACTGCTTTCATGTTAAAAAGCATGACAATTACTCCATAAAACCCCCCACAAATATTACTTGCCAGTCAATTTGCTGTGTTTGTATAGGTGGATCTTATTACTCACGTCAAGGTCTTCAGACATCTTAAAAAAGATATAAAACTGAGAATCCAAGAGAGAATGCCAAAAAGGAGACAAGTGCTATCTGCACTGCCCTCCCTTGCTCTCCTCCTCTTCATCTACTTCATCCTCTTCGACACCCGAATAAAACCGCCTCCAGTGGTCTTCTCCAACACCACCATTACACAACAGGAAACACCTCATTCAAACACACAATCACAATTCAGCCTCCTTATTGGAATCCTAACCCGCCCAGATGGCTATGATCGCCGCCACTTCCTACGCCTCATCTATGGAATTCAATCCTCACCCATAGCTGAAATCGACGTAAAGTTTGTTTTCTGCAACCTCACCAAGGCTGAACAAAGGGTATTCATAGCTCTCGAGATCCTGCGGTTTAAGGACATTATAATCCTCGACTGCTATGAAAACATGAACAGTGGCAAGACTTACACATACTTCTCGTCCCTCCCACGCATCCTTTCGCGCCGTTATGACTATGTCATGAAGGCTGATGATGATGTTTTCTTGAGGCTGGCACCACTAGCGTTGTCTCTCCAGCCAAGACCGAGGTTAGATTTGTACTATGGGTTTGTCGTACCATGTCCTAGCATGGATCCATTTGTGCAATACATGTCAGGAATGGGTTTTGTGCTATCTTGGGACCTAGTTGAGTGGATTGAGAGTTCTAATATTCCTGTAAATTACACATATGGGCCAGAGGATAAACTGGTTGGGTTATGGCTGAATATGGGGAACAAGGCAAAAAACAGGTTCTCTAATAAGCCGGCAATGTACGATTATCCAGGGACTAACGGAAGGTGCTCACATGAGCTTATTCCAGAGACTGTGGCAGTCCATAGGCTTAAGAGGTGGGCTCAATGGCTGGATGTGCTTCACTTCTTCAATGTGACCAAAGCACTTGAGGAGTCCAAACTCTACAATGTCTGAATCTACAGAAAACAATTGATTGTAATTAATTTTGGTGAGAAAGTCTAACAAAAGCTCAAAATACAGGGGGCTGCTGTCAGGTAATAGGCAGCCAAGTACATTACATGCATGCTTTAAACACCATGTGTATTTCAAATCATGTAACAAATGGAACATAAAAAATGAGACCAACCTACTAGACAAAGCAGATTGTAAAATATATGATAAATAATTTCTGTAATGTCTGAGGACACTACATGAGCGCTTGCTCAACACCACCTGACATAACTTGGCCTTGAATGACCCAATCCAGCAGCAAGCAGCACAAGAACAAAAATGATACTAATGCTACATCCCCAAGTACTTGACTGTGTCAAATAAAAAAAAAATGGTACATGACCACCGGCTACTCTTGTCTTTGACTGCGGTGGGTTTCGGTCACATAGAGAGAGAGAGAGAGAGAGAGAGAGAGAAAGCTTCACAGAACTGCGATTCTGTGAGGAGTCAATGACGATGATGGGTCTCTGCTGCAAAGAAGAAGAAAGGGAAGAGGAGGATACCTGTTACCGCAGTTCTTCCACATTTTAGAGGTTTGTGTTAGAAATTTAGGTCTTTTGCACTTGTGGGTCATCTATTTCATCTCTTCTGCATCTATTTAACATTTTCTTTGTTGTCTGAGTTGACTTGGGTGCGAATCGGCTGATTCGAGAGAGATAAATCCGAGTTATACCAAGTTAGACTGAGTTGTACCAATTCAGAACCAATTCAAGTTAGACTCGGGATTTTTTTTCGTATAGTGCATCGGTATCGGATCGGTGGGGGCTGAGTCAGGTATGACTTGTCGTATGCCGATACTTTGAACCGTGTCCCGTACCACTTCAGTAATATGGAAGTCAGTATCTGCATAAAGAAAGTTGAGACAAAAACTATTGTTCAAACATTTGGATGCACAATTGACGGTGAAGGTAACTGCTACTCCCCTTCCACAGAAAGTGCGGAATCCAATCACAGCTTTTCCACAACAACTGAAGAGAGAATTAAATGGTAGGCAAATTCAGCCAGAAACACCACAGGAATACTCAACCTTTAGGGTTTATGTAAATTGCATATCAAACTAAAACTTGATTTTCTCCTGAGAAATATATCAGTCGTAATCTTTAAAAAAGTCAAATATTTCCACTTCTTTCCTTAAACAAGTAAGTAATATTCTTAATAAGCAGACAAACAGATCTTAAGGAAACGGAGATTTGCGGTTGAAAATGAGGAAGTACCTGGGGGCTGAAGAGAGAAGGCATTTCTGGACAGCAATAGCGACTTTCATTATTAGAGTTTGGCTCGCCATTATGGTGGACTTTGGAACCATGAGAATCAATTAGCATTTTCGAAGATAATTAACAGCAAGTAAACCTCTACTGCAGCATATCAAAATTTATATAAAAGTGCAAATTTATATTCATAGAAGAGAAGTTAGTTAATGTATTACCTGTCAGCTTCAGCAAAATGAGAGGTGCAGCAGAGGGAGTGTCCCAAAAAGGAATATGGACAATTAATCCTTTTGCCACTGATCACCATTAGACGCCCACTCCTAAGTCCTAACATTTGGGCTTTCCAAAAATACTGCTCATGTATTCCATCTGCCACTATTGGTTTGCATAACTAAGCATACAATCCAACAAAACTCAGAATTCTCTTTAACAAAACTTTAGAATGGCACCATTCATTATCAAAGCCTCTTCGACACCTTTCTTTCCACAGCTCCCAGTAAACAAACATTGGAGAGCAACCAATCAATACATCCAAAATAGAACACTTCTTGAAAGCTTTAACCAAAACCGGATAAATCTCACAATGGGGGGACTCATCAGTGAGTAATTTGAGAACCCATTAATGCAGCCAACTGATTCCCTAAGAAGCCACAGTCCATAAGCCCTGAACTTTGAATTAAGTCAGAGAATTCATCCATTACAGAAAACTTTGTTGAGTCCCCACAATCTTTTGGCATATGAACTAAAAATGTTAAAATCTCCGAACACCATGCATGAAATGGATGAAGATCCGACAGCACAAATGCTGCCAAAAGACATCCTAGATGATTTTGAACCCTAAAAGAAACATCAATTGTCATTGATCAAGGATGGAAACATAACACACTAACAAACATGATTTGATAACAAAACAGCCACATCTTCCGGTCTGCTTGCTCATTTGCTACAATGGAAGTTCATTATTCATATTTCTACATAACGTTGCATTTTCAATGGGTTCAATAATGGTTCAAGGATCGAAACTGTAGAAAACCTCATTATTTATAATCAGCTTCTTCAAACATCTCCTAGAGAGCTCATAACCAGTCCCCCTATTATTCGTATAAACTATTCCATATGGATTGCCCATATATGTATGAACAGTGAACTAAGTTTCAAGTTAAAATAAACCAATGATCAAGAACTTCTGTATATGTATTTCTCTTGTACATCAAGATCACCTATAATTCAATTCAAGGACACATCAACACACTACAGTTCACCGAAACGATACAAGCATACCCACAATCTGCAACTAATCAACAATAAAATCCACTTTATTAATAATACATTATCTTAATCAGGGATTTTTAGAGCACACAAACCCAACACATGGTTTGAACATCAAAGAAAAAATTAATGACACATTACAACAACTTTAGGCCCACGCATGATATTGCCAAGTGATACTCACTTTTCAGGCCTTTTCAAGGCATTTTCATCACACAAACCATTTGTATAATACTATAATATACCCACAAAAAATACCCCAACATAATGAACGCTTCAAGATTTTATCAATTCAGGCGGTCATGAACCGGCAATCTGCAGAACATTTGAGGCATATAAAGTATGGTATATTCTTGACCTTTGACTTTGATTAAGGTGGCAGCGGTTCGCCTAATAACCATCGTCCTGCTCATGGACCTTAGAGTCGCGGGTTCGAACCTGTCTGACAAACAAAATTACGGTGGTCGGCGACCGGACCTGATGTAATCTTCCAGGGCTTCAATTTGTTCTTTAGAAGGGGGTGTTTGATTGTTCATGATGGATCGGTGCACGTCGTAAGTTGTTGAACCCAAGAAGAGAAGCCTGCAGTTATATATATATATACATGTGAATAATCTCAAAATTATAACTTCATCATAGAGTTTGAAGCCAGAGACGAAATTGAAAAGGGAGTTAAATTCACAATTACAGACCCGGAAGAAAGTAATATGATCTGCCTTGGAAATATGCTTTTGCCAAAGATCTTCATCCTCTCTTTCTCTCACCTCATAGTGAAAATCTTGTTACTTGGTCCTCCTTTGAGCATTGAGTTTGAAATCAGGTCTCACCCTCCATGCCAATGGGTACTATGACGTGGTGAATCGTAGGCCGCCACCACCGACGGAATCTACTATTAAAATACTTTCCTTTTTAAACAAAAGTATCGATATATCATACCTTTTAATTTATTTATCGATCTTATAATTTTTAAAAATGTAATCAACAATTCTGTTTTTACCAAAAAAAAGTGGAATCAACTACAACGCTTTTAATATTTACAAAAATATATATATTTTTTTTGTTGTATCACTTGTTAAAAGTGGAATTGTGTTAAAAACAGAATTAATAATTTCACTTTTAAAAAATGTAATAAATCGATAAATAAGTTAAAAATTGTGATAGATCGATATTTTTATTTGAAAATAACAATATTTTGTTAGTAGATTCACAGTTAACGAGACGGAGTTTTTCAATATATATTTTTATAATTATAGTAATTCATTAGGAGTAAACATGCTTTTCAACGTGGTAAAACTTTAATTTTGGATAACTCCGGCCACTATTTTTTTGTACTTAAATTTAAATTTTAGTAAAAATAATTTAAAATACTTCTTTAAAGTTAGATATATATTTATACCAAATAAAAAGAGATTCAGGTCGTGTTTGATTTGTGTCTGTAAAACAGTTTTTTGTTCTTAAAATTTTAAAAATACTCAAAACATGTTTGTTTAACATTTTTGTTCTCTAAATTTTGGAGAAAAAAAATGATATTTTAGTCAAAAAAACAGAAAACAAGTTTAGCTTGTTTTCAGAGTTTTTTTTGAAAATTTTGAAAAGAAAGAGAATAATTTTATATGTTCAGATATGAGAATATATATATATATTGTGTGTGTATATATATATACTGTTCAAATATATATTTAAGTTGTCTAAAGAGATTTTATTATTTTCTGTATTGTAAAATTATTTTTAAAATCATCTAACCAAACAAGTTTTTATCTAAAAAAATATTAAAATCACTTTTTTAAAACTCTTCTAAAAAATTATTTTCGGATATTATTTTTTGAAACGCAAACTAAGCCGACATTCAATTTCCTTAGACATTTCTAACCACTCTAGTTCAGACTCAAATTTAAATTTTTTTAACTAATACTAAATCAAAACTCTCTCTCCCACCCAAACCCAAAGCGCTTCTTCTTCTGCGCACAATCCATTGTCATCTTGTATTTTCTTTTTTTCACATAATTTTTCAAATTTTGAACCCGTCGGTGGGGTCACCGACTTCTCCATGATCACCGGCCACAAATTCACAGTTTTTCGATTTTTTCTTCGCAAAGCTGATGACAAATCAGGCACCGACTAGAGATTTGGGGACAGGGGCTGTAAAGATACGCTCCATAGTCTGGTTTGATTGGAGGGTTCGCTGCCAAGTGGTTTGAGTTCCTGCCATTGGTAATGAATTTTTGGGACAATATGAATTTTTTCAAAAATATTTGAATAAATATTTAAGATTTTTCATTAAGGAAGTCTTAATTAAATCAAGTTTTTTACTTAAATTTTTATTGAAATTAGAGTAAAAATTTGAGTGTTCATTAGAGATGTTCTTACTTAGAGAAATTCAAATTTTTATCCAAATCACTAATGATTAGATCTTATTCTCTTTTAAAAATCCAAATAGCTATTTTCTATCATCTTTTAAATTTTGGTTTGTCCTAATTTAATTTAAAATCCTAATATAGTAAAGGGTTAATCTCATTTTACACTCCGAAAGATAGTTCGAATCTCAATTTGCACCCTCAAAGAGCAAAAATCTCAATTTTCACCCTCAAAGATATAAATTTGTATCAATGTGCACCCCCAAAGATCAAAAATCTCAATTTGCACCCTCAAAGATAGAAATTTGTATCAATGTGCACCCCCAAAAATCAAAAATCTCAATTTGCACCCTCAAAGATAGAAATTTATATCAATGTGCACCCCAAAGATAAAAAATCTCAATTTACACTCTCAAATATAGAAATTTGTATCATTATGCACCTAAAACTAAATTGATAAATTATACCTACATCCTCTCATGTTTGTCACTTAATCATTTGAATCTCTTTATATTTAGAATATTGCTCCTACATCTTATGACATTTATGCACGTACAACATGTAATCCATTTTCATTGATATCTGTTAATATAACCGTTAAAAAATATAATTTTATCCTAATAAAAAATTATAATTTCATATTACCCTTATTTTATGGGTCCAATATACTCTAAAGTTCAAAATCAAGCTTACCATTTGAATGTCTAATAAAATGTAGATATTTATATAATGTTTTTCATATTTTCCTTTTTATAAATATCTACATTCTATTAGACATTCAAATGGTAAGCTTGATTTTGAACTTTAGAGTATATCGAATTCACAAAATAAAGGATAATATGAAATTATAATTTTTTATTAGGATAAAATCATATTTTTTAACGATTATATTAATAGATATCAACGAAAAGTGGTTATGTTTACACATGTACAAACGTTATGAGATGTAGGAGTAATATTCTAAATGTGAAGAGGTTCGAATGATTAAGTGACAACACATGAGGGGATCTAGGTATAATTTATCAATTTAATTTTAGGTGCACATTAATACAGATTTCTATCTTTGAGGGAGCAAATTGAGATTTTTGATCTTTGGGGGTGTACATTGATACAAATTTCTATCTTTGAGGGTGCAAATTGAGATTTTTGATCTTTGGGCGTGTACATTGATACAATTTTCTATATTTGAGGGTGCAAATTAAGATTTTTAATCTTCAGGGGTGCAAATTGAGATTTGAACGATCTTTCGGAGTGTAAAATGAGATTAACCCTATAGTAAAAGGTGTTTGTGGATGATTTACTATTTTTGCGATAATAATTTTTATAACTTTTTTTCAATACAAAAAAAATATATTATATTTGTGGGGGTACTTTTACCATATTTTACGTGTCTTTTTACCATATTTATGAGTTTTTTTTATTACTATTGTAGTAAATATTTTTATTACTTTTTTTAGAATAACAATAAAAATAAAAATATTCATAAATATAATAAATTTTAATATAATACCAAAATTCAAGTACCATAGTCAAATCCTATTAATATATTAGGGCATGGAAAACCATAGAGGGCTATTGATATCTCCATCGAGTAACACTGGAGAAAATTTCGTCTGTTGCAGTATTTGCAGGAAGAATGGGTATTAAAGCATCTCAAGCCTTACCAAAGCTTGACTCGGTCAAACGTGGGTAGAAAAAGGCCAAAAACAAGATATAAACATTTACTCTGAATTATACCAAATTACAGGGAAACAAATACAAACTTAACCTCAAAGTTTTGTTTCGACTTAAAAACATTATATTCTCCGCATAATTCTCGATGTCAAACAACTCATTATATTCTCTACACAACTCTCAATATCAAAAAACTCAATCAACACACTCCTTAATGTCAAAACAATTCCACTAATTCACACTCATCACTTTCCTTAATCTCTATATTATTCGCTCTCTCTTCATTGTAATTTTAAATTATATAATTAAAAATTTTAAATTAAATTATTATTTAGAATATAAATTTTGTATGATCAATTCTCAATTTTTTGGTATTGCAAAAAATTTTAAGATATGAGTTATTGCTAATATTTTATACTACTCCTACATGTCAATAGCTAAAAAGAAAAAAGATCGCATACTTAAATTATCCTCTCCACCTTCTCTAATTGGAAAGAGTTAAATGTCTTTGCATGCAAAGAGACCGTTTCGGGTGAGACAATTCGAACCGTCGAATCCGATACTTTCAGATCACAATGAAATAATTGCACCAAAACACCCAATTTTGTGGTTTCAGAACATACTAACAAAATTTAAAAGCACTTCATCATGACCTAATTTCCATAAATTTATGATTTCAGAACAAATTCACAATTTTTCAAAGCAACCTAACACAGTAACATGACCTATTTTCAATAAAGCAGGAAAAAAAATGCCAAAACATTAGTCCACTATCAACAAAACCCTAAACAGAATTCAATCAATATAAGCAAAATTAATCTTCGTCTACTCCTTCAAACGCCCATTCGTGTTCCTTGCGGATTTTCGCCTCTTCCTCGGCCGTGAAATCATTCACAATGTTGAATGTCCGGCGAACCCACTCCGGCGACTTATTCTTCATCACATCAGCAACTCTCTGACAGCAAATATCCAGCAAATCCTTGATGTTTAAATAATTCGCAGCCAAGATTACATCAAAGATCTCCGAGAGTTCCTTTTCGACAAAAGCAGAATCGAATTTCTGCATATCTTCCTTCGAAACCAATGAATCTGCATGCTTATTGAGATATTCTATGATTTGAATCAAAATTTTGCTATTGACGTTGGGCAAGGGAATCACGTTGGAAGCGCAGTCGTCTTCGACCATGTTCTTGATCGTCACGGCCTGGATAGCGATCGTCTCTGCGATCTGAAAGTGTTGCTTGTCGGAGGTGCACAATGTGAGCATCTTCGTCTCTGTTGTTGTCGTTGCCATGATTGATAGATGTTAAGAGAGAGAAACGTAGAGAACAAACTGAGAATTAGAACCCTAGAAAACCTTCAGAGAAACCCTAGAGGAAGGACTGGACGATTGAGTATGGACTGAAAAGAATAGGCGGAGGAGTACTGAGGTATATATATGTGTTAGGGCTGAGGAGTCCTTTTAGACGGGTCTTTTAATTTAACTTGACAAGTTTGCCTCCATCTAGAGAACCAGCTAAAGAGTTTCATCAGGGATGTAATTGTCATTTAAATGATCTTCTTATTCTAATGACAATAACGCTGGTTATGGTTAAGGCGTATTTGGATGCAGTATTAAATGGTATATTAAAAATTTATAATAAATTAAAATTCTATAATTGAACATTATATTGTATTTAATTGTAAAAAATATTTTGTATTAGATATAATTTTATTTTAAATACTTATTCAAATAATACACTTTATTCGTACTATTGAACCGATTATGTCTAAAATTTCATTATCACTTAATCGAACATGTGCTTATACTTTTTTTATAAATTAAAAATTAAATTAATAAATATAATAATAAAAATAAATAAAAATATTTTTTTATATAAGAATTAGGTCACTATTTGAAAAAATATAATAAAAATTTGACATTTTATTCTTATAACATTATTTAAACGTATTAATCATGTTAATTTTGTATTATTCGTGTTTGACACTTGATGATGCACAAATTAGTATCATGCAAGATCAACGGTCGAGTATACAAAGAAATGTAATTAATAAGCAATAAATGAGATAATCAATGGCAAAACAGTAAATTTAGAGTCAACACACACATATATAGTAGTTCAGTTCGGGTGACCTACTCTACTCTTGGGAAATGGTAGCGGTGGTCAGAGGTGTTTATTGATGAATAAAGTAACCGGGAGAGTATACTCCGGGAGAATTACAATGCTTTGAAAGAGAGAAACTTGGTATGTAGAGATGTGCCGAGGTGTAAAGGTTTCAAGGTGATGCCCTCTATGTAAAGATGACTTATATTATATAAGTATGATGAGGTAGTCACTACTATTTTGGTAAGTATAATTAAGGTAGGATTAGATCTTCGTGCGTATTCCGATATTCTCTCCCTCATGCTCCTATTGTTTTGGGAGGAAGATCCTGAGCTGAATTGAAAGTGGCAAAAGGAGGGTCAACCCATGAACCCACTAATTTTGTCCTGTATTTTTTTCATAGAAATTGTCACCCTATATTTTGGTCATCTTTCTATGAAGCAAACTGATTTTTCTGAAGGACTGATTGGTGAGAGAGCTGATAGATCCAGCAACTCAAAATCCCATTATACATAGACATGTGGCGTTGAATTTGTCATCACTTGGTGGGTTTTGTTTATAAAATCAGAGAAGACTTACTGACTTAGTCTAATGGCTAGGTTTTTTTCTACTTCAAGGACGAATTTCTCTAACGGCATGTTTGCTTTCATGGTTTAGGCTAGTATAAGACTCTGGATAAGGTAGAAATAATTTTAGCCCCACTTAATACTTTGTTTGTTTTGCTTTTATGAGATGATCATAATGAGATTGTTGAATACTAGACCCCATAATAAATAGTTGTTCATATCTCATTTATGTGGTGCTATTTAATACCAAAGTGTAAGTTTTATAAAAATCTTGTAAGTGGTACAAGTTCGCCAAACCAAAGTATAAGTTTTATAAAAATCTTGTAAGTGGTACAAGTTCGCTCAAAGACTAAGATATCATTCTCAAACTTTTGTCGTATATAAATGAAAGGGCATCCTTCTAAATGACTAAATGAAGAAACCATTAATGCTCTTATTTTCGGTGAGTCCCACAAACCTACAAACCATGTAAACAAATAAGGTTAATGACAGGAAATGAAAAATAACTTATGCTTGCTTACACCACGGGGTAGAATAGATTGAAAATGATACTCCAATTCCCATCCAACCTACTCCACAAAGCAAACATGCCCTAAGTGGTTTTATTTTTTTGGACAGGATATGCTCCCACTGGATAGACCCGGTAAGAAACGAATTAAATAGTATTGATTACTTCTTGACACGAAATTTAAAATTATCATAACTTGTTAATACAAATAATAGACGATTCAGATTATTGTCAAAATAAGAATACTCTTGCCTAACTGATTACGTAAATACCAATGTATTTTGATAGAGAAAGAACTAATTTGAATTAATCAAGTAACACTTGATTATTAATCAAGTACATCTAAAGGGTTTACCCTAGAATTTTAAGCCCAAGACCTATTTGCTGCGCTAATGGGCTGCCCACGGCCCTGCCAAGTCGGGCTGCTCTAGCAATAAGGCCGGTGAGGTAGGTTTACCCTAATCTGAAGCCCAATGCCTATTTTCTGGGAAAATGGGCTGCCCACTGCCCAGCCAATTTGGGCTGCGCTAGCCAAAAGGCCGGTGAGGTAGATCCGGCCTAAGCTCAACATTTGAAAGGCCGTCTTTAGTTCTCTCCTGAATCAAAATGTAACCTTGCCGCTCAAACCGCTAAGGCGGCGACTCAAATACTTCAAATATTTGCTTTGTGCTCTCTCCTACGGTATTATCTCGTCAATAGAGGTAGGTATGAATCATTTCGTCTTCCTACAATATTAATCTTTGAAGGTTTTTGGAATCTTGCAGGGGAACACACCATTTGTTTGAAATGCATACCTACTGTTTGATGAAATTCCCGAATCGAAGAACAAAGAGCCTGTAATCTTTTCGGCGTAGTTATTTCTCATTTAACCAACTAAACAGAAATAAACCCAGTAAGCCTTCAACAGCAATGCATGACACTAGAATTGTAAACGTTCAATTGAACCCAACTTTTTTTGGACCACCTGTCATTCTGGGTGAGTCTAGATTTTTGCTGTGTCATGGGAAATCGTTAGTTATGTGAGTGAGAGAGTTGATCCATTTCTGTTTAGACCCAGAATTTTCCCTTAGAAGAATTGTTAATTGTTTAGATTTTATCATATGACTACTGTGTAATCCATCTATGACCTATGTATCATATAATGGGGTTTCTTATGGGTCCGGATGAAGTTATAGACTGTGCACAAATCAGCATTATTTATTGTCTCAAGCACCATGGATGTTATAGCATGATCTGCTGGGTCACTTCTCTTGTGTTGTTGACATATATGTACAAAATAAGCTTTATCTACTATCCCTACTTTCCTGTGTACACTGATAGGGATCTTTGGCTTATTCTTTTGTTTTTCTATTCTCCACTTTCGGGAAATATTTTTTTTATAAAATTGTGCATCTATGGATTTTTTTTTTGTGTGTGTGTTGTGGTTGGGGGGGGGGGGTCAAAAATGACGCTAACTTGAACGAGTCTCTATACTTCATTAAAACATGTATTCATTGCTGTCCAGTGGTGTCATTACTATGTTAATCTTCCCTGTGGACCCTGTGTTAGTAAGAATTGTCTGATTTCTAACGTTGCAGGCTTCATAAAGGTGTCCATATCTCTTGTTTGAAGGATTCAGCTAGTAACTTGTGTAGGAGTTCTCAAAATGGCCAGTGGGCCTGGGCTGGAATCTCTTGTAGATCGTATGTGATCCTCAAACCTTCTTTGATATATGGTCTTCAATTTAGTTGTCCCATTCTGGCAGTTGGCTCTGCATGGTTTGAATGCTGGCTATGATTATAAAGGGATTGCATAGTATCTAGCAATCCTGTGATATTTTTTTGAAGTCATTGGATGTTCTAGATACATTTGTTTTGATTGCTATTTTTTCTATTTCCAGAAACGATTTCGGTTATGACAAATGATGGGCGCAATATAGTGGTGGGTTAACTTGCAATGTCTACAACTGTTGCAAAATCTGATAAATGAAGCTTTCTTACTTACTGATTGTCTTGTGTTTAATACAGGGAATTTTGAAAGGTTTTGACCAAGCTACAAATATAATTCTTGATGAATCTCATGAGCGGGTTTACTCTACCAAGGTTTGAATTAGTAGCTTTAGAAAGAATACACCGGCATCCCTTTGGTGCCACCTGTTTATATCTAAAAAGTACTCCCAAGTTATTCGATTCAGCCTTACCTAGTATATTTTAATGTGGTCTTAACTTACTAATCATTTAACCAGTATATCCAAAAGAATAATTCACAAGCATATGCATATATTTATTCTGAGTTTTTCATTATCTTATGGGGGGACTATAATTTTTCACCTTTTATTATTGGCAGTGTCTAAATAAATTTGAACGTACAGATAACTGTCAAAGTCTGGAACTATCTTTAATCAGAAAACACAACTGTGACTCATATATTAATGAATGTAAGAGAAAGATATTTTTTGTTAATGCTGAGGCCTGAACTCTCTCTTTCTGCATGCATGACCATGTGATTGTAACACCTTTGTGGTGCATATTTTCAGAAGGTGCTTGAAAAATCTTATATAATCTGATATCTGTTCACTCACCTGAAGTTAGGTTCCAAAAAGGGGGATTTATGTGTCTTTATCACTCTATGGATGGAGGGAGAGAGAGAGGGAATGGTAGGAAATCAGCCTTAGTGACCAGGCCATCTTTATATTCTAAAGCTGTTTTGGAGATCTGATTTCAGGAATTAGGAAATTTCGGAAGAACAAGTCAGCTCCTATACAAGCAGTGAATAAGTAGGAAAACAATGTGGAACTTGTTGTCGTTTTCTCGGAGCCCTTAACGTATCTCATTCTTATGCAGCTTGATTTTTGGTGACTAGCCCATAATTCCATACGTAGAAGACCCATGGATTAAAGAAATTGAACCTTTGGTTGTCCCTGATGCCGATTATTAAATGTTTGTGGTGTGAAAAGTTAGCTTACTCTTGTGATGCACAAATGCTTCCCCCGTTTGTTTGTGATCCCAAACATTTTGTTATTTTGGGGTTTCCACAATTGAATTGAAAGATCTTTCTTCTTGCTTACCTAAGGTAAGGTTTGTGGACAAATGCCTCCAAGTCGCAGCCAAAAGAGGCTCCAGTTCTTTTGGCGACACATGCTTCCTTTGATTTGCATTATTGATAGAGGATCCTTGCTTAAACCTGACTGCCTTATGCAAAGACTGGAGGCGTTATTGTGTTGACTACGGATGTGGTTGTCAATCATGTAAAGTGCTTTCACCTGTTGATGTCGATGGAACATTGTAGACTTGTAGTTACTTCATGTGGCTGGGATACAATTGTGCCTATTATTGTGGAATTACTAGATTGGAGAAAGGACCAAAGTCAACTAAAAAATATCAATATACAATTTCCAGACATTTGATAACGCCCTACATGCGTAAGTTACAAAATACAAACAAGAAGTCTGCTCTTGCATTTTCCAACACCAGATTTGTAGTATCCTAACCGAATCTGCATATTTCTAAGGTCACTGCTTTTCATCTTCCAAGAAAAATAGATACCAGTGAGCATGATAATTTCAACAGTTACTGCTATCCTCTTCCATTCTTTCACAATTCTAGATCTTAAACATATCTGAGTTAATCCTCTTCAGCCATAATCCTGTTATCCATGGCAAGAAGTGTGTCAATGCTACTTACTCTTGGTTATTGCTTTGCAGGAAGGTGTCCAGCAGCTTGTGTTAGGTCTGTACATCATAAGGGGTGACAACATGTATGGTACTTAATTTGTATTAACTGTTCCAATGCTATTTAGTACATTTGCTGCTTTCACCAATAATAGTCTTGCCACTCTCTAATTTTTGTTTTTCTTGCCTTTCTCGTATACAGAAGCATTGTTGGGGAACTGGATGAAGAGCTGGATGCAAGCCTGGATTTGTCAAAACTTAGAGCCCATCCTCTCAAACCTGTGATCCATTGAAGAGTAAAATGGTAGGACAATGTAATGTTTGTTGCTATAGGGAAAGATCATACAAGATACTATGGGACTGGAATTTGTGATGCTCAGCTGATAAATATTTCTGTTATTAGAAGGTATATCAAGATCCCTCGTTTCAAATTTTGCTTTATTAGGTCCATTTGTGTCTTTCCTGTCTAATTTTGTGTGTTGGGCTTTTTTGTTTTTTTGTTTTTTTTTTGTGGGGGGGGGGGGGGGGGGGGGCTATGTATTCAATACAAAGGTGATACTACTTTCTTAGTGAGAGTCGTATGGTTGTTCTACACGCACGACAAGTTCTTGATACATATTCATGTAATTTCATGTGCTTATCCATAAGGAGCATAGCTACTTTTTGTGTGCATATGATCCTACTACTGCCGCCCCACTTGGCGCCTAGCAAGATTTTTTTTTCCTTCTTTGGGGGATATTTGTTGGGGTTGTATCGAGTGTGGAGTACTGTGGAACCATTTCAATGTAAGGTCACTGGCAAAATGGTGTGTCATTCTTGGGTCACTACGAAATCCTCTAAGCTGTATGAACTTCACAACTCACAAGGGTCTCCATGACTGGCCTACTTATTCTTCCATTTCCCTCTTTTATAGATGTCTTGTAGAATTTGAGCAGTTTTCCATTAGGATTCTTTAGACAGGACAGGAAATCAGAGCCATGTTTGGTTAACTTTTCGGAAACTGTTTTTTGTTTTCAAAATTTTAAAAACACTCAAAACGTGTTTGTTTAACATTTTTGTTTTCAAAATTTTAAAAAAAAATAAAATTTGAGTCAAAAAAACAGAAAATAAGTTTAGTTTATTTTTAGAGTATTTTTTAAAAATTTTGACAACAAGGAAAACAATTTTGGACTTTAATGAAGTCTGCCCTTCGAGTCTCCTTAACAGTAAGTTTTTTCATTCTTTTTTTTTTTTTACTTCTTCCTCTCTCTCATAATATATAATATATATTATATTATAATATAATATAAAAATAAAATTTATATATATTTTTTTATTAATGTTTGAATTACTGTTCAAATATATATTTAGACTGTCCAAACAAGTTTTATTATTTTCTGTATTGTAAAAATTATTTTTGAAATTATCTAACCAAACAAGTTTTTTATCTCAAATAATATCAAAATTATTTTCTTAAAATTCTTTTCAAAAATTATTTTCAGATATTAGTTTTAGAAATGCAAACCAAACATGTCTCAAGTTTTTTGAATATTTTTTTTCTGGCCTATTAATTAAGTTAGTTCGAGATCAAGATTGGACATGAGAGACTTCTAGTAACAGTAGGTGCACGACTGGGAGCTCTCGAAACCAAACAAGACCTGATGATGGGCAAGATTAGAGGATCACTCACAAATAAAGAGCTCAATCGTCGATATTTGATGGGTTTGATATCAAGAAGAAGATTGAAACAATTAGATGAAGGTTACGGTGTAAATATTTTTTTCTGAAAGATAACTATGATAAAAAAAGACTGACTCATTTGTCAAAATAAATGTTTATATAATATGATCCATCTATTTTATTATTATGCAAAGCCTATAATAAGATGAGCATAAATATAATCCATTCGATTTTTTTATCAAAAAGGATTTTAATCCATGCTTTATTATTCAAATGCGCTAGTATGTCTCAAATGACATAAGCAGCAAAAAAAAAAATGTACGATGATATTTTTCAGGATTTTTTTTTTTTATATTTTCAAAATTATTGTTTCTTCTAACCATCTAAACCATTAAAAAAAAAAATCGAAGTAGCCCCTATATTAGATATCGAGAGAGGGTCGAACTCGCAACTTCCCAATTTTCGTTTATGAGGTATGATTTTTATCCATTTTAAATTCTCCCATTTTGTACTTTGGCATACTGATAGCGATGTTATGGAAAAGTTTTTCTAAATTTTTTCTTCTAAATGAATGGAACCCTTGGTATAATGGTGTTGATTTATGTAAAGGTTTTTCAACATTATATCTCTTAGATGAATGGAGCAAGAGCATTACAAAGATGATGGTATGCCATACAAATTTCATTTGCTCCCCTTTGATCTTGACCTGAATCGAATTCAAAAGAGTAGCTCTCAAGTAGTTCCCATGTCTCAACTTTTAGTCCTTATGGGAGACTTATTTTCTAGATTTTCCTCGGTTTAGCTTTCATCCTTCTTTCATGCACAAAAAAATCTAAAACAGAAAACGAGAAAAAAAAAAAGGGAAAACACACGTTTAGTCTTCCTATTTTTACTTACCGAAAAAAAAAATCTCAATTCTTCCCAAGTCATATATTGGTATTATATTAGCATATGTGCTTTCCGAATCTTTCTTTTAAAAAAAAAAAAATCAAAGTACATTCCAATGCAAATCCATAAACAACCAAGAAAAGGAAGAGAGTGGCAAACTACCAGTGCGGAAAGGCTGAACTCACTCTATTTCTCTATCCTCTGCTTTAGGAGAAAATATTCAATGTGACAGTGATACCATGTTAATATTGTCATACGATATCACTATCCAATAATATTTTAACAAATGGGTAAGAAAACACTCAAATCAATAGTTACCCTTTAATCTAATACAATAACTACTCACCTGTAAAAAAGTAGAGTTCATCTTACTCACTAGGTATTTTATTTTTAAATGATGATATCCTGTGACAATACTAACGTGATATTACTGTTGCATTGAATATTTACTCTTTTAGTTGGCAACTAAGAGAGATTTGTCAACTTGTACATTTATCAACAAGTAGAAGACTTAAACGAATTAAAGAGGTAGATATGAAAGTGAGGTTCCATAATTACAAATACAATTTTGAAGATGGCAATGCACAACAACTCAGCCAAGAACCTACAAGCATTGACCATCATAATCTGTGAGAAGAAAAACAATCTATAGTGTCAATTAGATCAGTTCATGTTAGGTCCTGAACCAATAGATATGTTATCGATCCAACGGAGATCCATGAGTTTGGCTTGAGGGGGAAGACCATATGCTACAACCCAGTAATTCACACAGCTATAGAGAAAAATAGGTATTCTGGGAAAGATCAACACTCCCTTATAATTTGACTGAAGGAACTAGCTACAAAATTCAAGCTTCTGGTAAGAAAACATGTTGTTCTGGGTTCATACCAAGTTAGAAAAACCACCCACCAGAAAGCAACCTATCATGGTCATCATCGTCACCATTTCCGATAAAAACAAGCATTAACAACCAATTTTACCAGAAACAAGTAGCTACGACTTGTACAGAGGCTTCCAAGTACACTATTGCATCCCAATCCCTTAGTTGGATTATGCACATCACAAACAAAGAGAAACACTTGCATAATCCTATATCTACAACTAAAACTGGGAAACACACTAAACATAAGACTCTGAAAGCCATGTTTAGTTAACAGAAATACTTGAGAATATTAGAGGCCACTTGCAAATTGTGGTGCAATAGTTACTGTTTACGGCCATATATATCCACAATAATAACGATAGTTGTTCACACAATAGTAATTCAGAAGGATATGAAGTTCAAACAAAGGGAAAAAATGGTTCCACAAGTTTTGAAATTCTTTTTTCCACAGTTACCTACCCAACATATAGCTCATTATTGCTTAATTTAGGCATACTCATGACCAGACTCCCACCCACTTTAAGACCTCACAGCTAAAAGAGATATACTGCACTCTAGGCTTAGGGAAGTAGAGATATATGTTATCCAAGTCAATAGCCAAACTTCGGATCTGAAGAACATGGCATTGAATGCTCCGCCGCATCCATATTTGCCAGGGAACCAGGAACGAGTGATTCAGGATTTGATGCTCTGACGCCATACAACATTGGCACTGGTGAAGGAAGATCCACTGGAGTGCCAAATGCTGAAATAAGGGGTCCCCGAATTGGTTGGCCAATAGAAGAGGAGGCATGCACACCAACAGTAGAACCACTAAACGGTCGTGAATGTCCAATTTCAGTAGAGTACCCTGCTGCCGCAACTCCACTCAACTGCCCTGTGATTGGACCTGGTGGAGCTGATGTGTCTCCAACATTCAAGGTAGTTATATCATGGATGCTTGATCGTCTCCTTTCCTTGTTTTCTGAATTCAAGCGAACAAAATACTTTTGCGCATGGCTGGCAACCTGTGTAGGCGTTCTAGACACCACGACATTCCTGGAGATGCTCCTCCAATCACCTTTTCCATACTTTTCCAAGCCCAGAAGGAATAACCTACAACACAGAGACACACAAACCCAGACAGAGATGGAACTTTTGTAGTCAACCTTCCATTTTTCAGTCAATACTCAACTCTTTTTTATTCCATGTCCAAATACTGTGTAGTTCATAGTTTACTTAGAAGCAAAACAGGGAATGTTGTATGTGAGTGAAATACTAGGGATGAGACAAACTACATTGATAACAAGCGTGTTTTTGTGGTTACTCGGCATATGACAGCTTGATGCAAATGAAAGTGTAGCATTTGACAATAGAAAATCAAAAAACCAGATGACCAGTGTGAGAACAAACAGCAATAGAAATGGACAGATTCTCTTGTCCAAGGTAGGTCAGCTATATCATTACATTATTAATGCAATATCAAACATAGGTGAAGAGGAGGGAAAGTGGTTCTCAAATGCAGGATTCACAACAAACCCACGCCATCCAGACAAACACTATCTAGGGCTGTTAATCAAAAAAGCCACTCGGGCTTGGCTCGTTCACGCTCATTCATACTATAATACAAGCCTAATCTGAATAAATTTTTAGTCTCATTTTGTATTTGAGCAGAGCCTAGTAGTCCGGGAGCCATCTGATTTTCCCTACTCTAACAAATTATATTTGTATATAAGTAGAATCTCAAGAATATTTTATCAAGTGTAGCAATTTTCAAACATAAAATCATTCCATCACATGGGCAATGTCTGCCAACTACCTCTCTCTCTCTCTCTGCTGGCGACAAGTAAAACCTAGAGCCAAGAACCCTTTTAATCCCCTCAGCCATCTCACTCTCTCTCTCTCTCTCTCTTCCCCCCCCTCTAAAAACCTTCCACGCTATACCCACGAGCATCCTTTTCTTTGATCTAAAACCCTAGAATGAATCACTAGTTTATTTAGTATATAATTTCTATTGCGATTTAGAAATTTGGGGGGTTTTGAAGTCAAGATATGTGTTTAGATTTAGGTTTTGTGTGTTTTATGTGAACTTTTTGAATTGGGGATTTAGAAATTGTGGATTTGAAATTTGTTATAAGTGCCTCATTTTTTATTCGAGCTCGGTTGGAACCGAACTTGAACACGCCATAAATAGCTAGAGCCAAGCCTGAACATAGCTAAGCTCGAAAGGCTCAACTCAATTAACACCCCTAGCTAACAAGAGGGGAACTTATGTGGGAGAAAACCCACGGGGATGACCCAAGGATCTCCACCTATTTCTGATTCCCCCTTATCTCCTTAATTCCTTAAGCAGAGCATCCATGTGATTGGGTAAACATCACATATTTCCCACCAGCAATGTGATGAAATTTCTTGAATCTCGATGGGCATAGCACAACCTTACTCAGATATTTAGGGAAAATGTAACAAGTATTTGTGTAATATGGCCAATCATATGATTCATATCCATACGCAAGCAGAACATAAATAACAATTGACTATAATCATGAGCTAGCTTAGCTGACTCACTATTAAAATAAAACATGTTGGTATTACTATTTCATTAATCAGAGACAAGTGTCATGTCGCATACAGATATACCTCCGAAAAAAATTATAGACTTTTGACAGCTACAAACACAGAAACATTATTGCCCACATAAAACAGCTCTATGACATGAATAAACACCACGCAGATACCATTATCCCGAGTATCCGGCGAATCCTGAAATTGCCTACATACTGTTTTGACTTCTAAAAGTTTTTCAAACTAGAGTAAAAATATACCAGAAGCAAATTAACAAAAAATAAAGGAGAAATCAGACTTGATATAGAACTTGTCTGGGGGAATGATCAGAAGAGGCAGAAGGGTAGTTTAAAGCGCCATGATAGTAGGTATTATAGGGACTACTTTAAGGTGAAAAGAGAGGATGTATTCTTAATGCTGTTGACTCTAGGAGGACTTTAATGAGGAGGCTAGGAGGGTGATAGACCCACTTGCAACCTACTAAAAGGAAGTAACTTGATATTCCTCCAAACCCAATACATGAGAAGAGACCAAGCATAATAGTATAACATTAAGATGGTATGCGGATAGAAAAAAATAACCTGAGAGCTTATTGTTTAACCCATAGATAACGAGATCATAGAAACCCCAAGCCTTCTATGAACCGAGGTTGCACAACATGAAACGGACTCGGCGCAACCCATCGCCTAAACCTAACCCCAATTCTAACCCTAACTGGATATTTTTCGTGATACAAATATGCAACCACTGGCTTTAATTATTTACAATTATTCGCCGATATTAGTTAACTACATGTACAAAGATGTATACTTACATGAATTTCCATAGATTAGTGAAAACGATAAGGATAAAAGTTATAAAGTGAATTACGACCAAAATAGAGTACGAACTAAGTCTACTCACATCGAACCGTGTATCGGGAAAATTACTCGTACAACATACCAAACCAACTTATGATCCATGATGAAACATTGGTTTCACCCATAAAAGAAAATGGATAACCAGTCATCTTTCCTTTTTTTGGCGTGATATGCATGGTCTGCACCACACAACCATAGTATCCATCCTTTAGCAAGTAGAAAATATTTTTGCAGTTTGCTACACCCATAGCACACGTGATTCCAAATCTTCAATAGTCGAGTATCTCAAACTTGCAACAATTATACAGAAAATCGGTGCAAGCTTTATCAGCAATCCTCATTCCCAGCTTCCAATCCATCATAATGGAGCTGTCAAATGGCTTGCCTCAAATTCTCCATATTGCTCAAAAGTCGATGCTCTCTTGTTTGGAGAAACAAATATCTCTTTGTTGACCTCTGCTGGCAATGTGTTCGCATAGTTAACCTTCTATGGAGTATTCCTTAAGTCTACATCCATGCCACATTCCTAACTGCTGTTTGATCAAAAGATCCAGCACCAAATCTCCATCTAGAAATCTTACATATGAAATTGGATGTCTACCATGCTAAATGGCAAATGTAGGTTGAGCAAGGATCACTGATCATACAAGAGTTTGGATATAAGAGCAATCCCTTGCATAGCTTCAGTAAACCACTACAACTGCATGAAGCAGACACTAATGTGTTCCAAAGGAAACTCTAATGGCACTTAGAACACCAATCGCATTAAAGGAAGCAGTCATAACGAAACAAGGTTTCCTTCCATTAGATCCTCAAAGGAGTGACCCTAGCTTGCAAGAACACCCTTGTTTTCTCCCTGCCTCAGTCTCCTAAGATCATCACTGAAACAAGAAGATTGGGGCCTTCTAAACCAGCATTTAAGTTGTTTCTCAATTCGTAGTAACCTCGTCCATACACTGATGTTATCTACTTCTGAAAAACTAAGGATCTACTTCTTAAACAATTTAGTGACTGGTTACATTTTAACATGCTGCTTCAGTCGAAAAAGAACTGCAGCTTCTCAGAGAGTGTATCAAAAACCTCCGGACAACTTGATACAGAAGGGAAAAAGGGAGGAAAAATACACATCATGCGTTACATGCCAGAGAGACTGACAGATGTTTTCTTATTTTCACTAGTTCATTGAACTCGATTGTGTTTTTACTGTACCTAAGATCCTAGAGCATATATTGGGTGCAAGAGCAGAGGTTCGACACAAAAATCACATTGTCAAAGAGCCTCCAAAGCAGCAACACTTTCATAATGTGGATGCACAAACTTATTTATGTCTTACTAAAAAGTTCAGATAAATAAATATGAAGGGGAACCAAAAGTACTGAGGAAGATTAGGCGGGTGTTCTAAGAGATGCAGATACCTCCTTGTAAGTGAACATGTGCACACATTAATGCTACATATATATTTTAAAAACCCATCAAGCTCAGTTGCAGTCGGGCTTAATGAGTAATGATTTCATGAGGGGTTCAACTTGTTACCATACTGTTTAGTGCCTATTTTCCCGTTATCCAAACAACTGGTGGCATGGCACCAAAAATGTATTTTATTTGAATTACAAAAGTTAAAAAAAAAAAAAATAGGTAAATTTGTGTTGACTTGGTCAAGTGACCAGTCAGACGTATGAATTCTCATTGAATCCTAAAATCCACAAATTAGCAAGGATGACCTCCATCCCATGGATTATATGCCCTATATGTGTAATTGAGATTCCCTTTACTGTTTTCATTTCAATTTTCTGATTTCTATCTTATATCTGTTACTTTCACACAAACAGTATCACCCGTGAAATCTAGTTGTAGGATAACTCTCCAGTTCAAGTAATTAGAAGGAAACAAGCTTTTGTAAAGGAAATCTTCTAAAACAAGTAGTTCCCAGCAATGGATTTTAATGAGTAGGAGGAAAAGAACCAAAAAAAATACACCTTTTCACCGCCATGGCATCATGAAGTAAAACAGGGCAATAAAGTAAGTAAATTCAACAGATTTATAATTTACCAAAAGCTGCGTAGCTTGATGAAGGGAAGGGCTGCCAAAAAAAATGAGTAGAGTAATAAAATATGTTTACCTATGTTCCTCTTCTGTCCAAGGTATCCCCTTCCGTCGTTCTTGATCTGTTCGTGATGATTTTTTTCCATGAGTGGAATCAGTTTGCCTTTGCAAAGTTTGGCTATTAGCAACAATATATTCTGTAGAATCCTCCAACGAAGAAACATAGGAAGGCAAAGGCACACATCCAGACTCGATTGCATTTACATCTTCAACTAAGAGTTCATAATGATCTTTGATTTCCTCTCGCGTTTTCCCAGTGACTGCTGCTGCAATCTTTTCCCATCGGTCATCGGGATCTCCACCATAAATAGCCAGGGCATTCTCGAATGCTTTATCCTGCTCCCTAGTCCAAAAGGAGCCATTGCATGTCCCATCAGAGCTCATTCTCTTGTTAAGATTTGTTCGAAAGGGTTTTTGATTTACAGGCAAAAACTTAGAGAGGATTCACGAAAGGAAAATGTAACTCTCAAACCCACAAATATTCAGCATCTGATTTACATTACCATCACATTCCAAAATTTGCCCTTTGAAAGCTAGGAGACGTATAGAAATGGCAAACTGGTTTTCAGCAATAATTTCTCGGCCTTAAATTTCAATTACTAGAGTGAACGTCAGATATAGCTAGCTGGCATCTTGAAACAAGAAGGCCAAGAAACAAAATATTTCCAACGATGCAAAAGCGAATAGCAGATGTGGCAGCCTCTGAAGGCAAACCATGCATGTCCACAATAAGCCAAGTAACCTGCGCAACAAATCACCAATATAAAAACAAATGGAGCTTAAAAACAAAGAACCACATACATTGATGGGATATAATAGTGAATTAGTGCTCTAGAAAAATATATGTTGGTGAAAAAGAGAAACATAATCACTTCATTAATAAAAAGCATTTGCTTAACCATAAAAGTAAATGGTGAAATATTAACGAATTAATGGAAATATTGATGACGAACTGATTAAGGACAAAATCAAGCATTCTAGATTATGTAATCCGGAAAAGATCACAAATGCATTTAAAAATACGTTACGACTTGCAAGGAAGACCAACGAGATATGATAAGAAATTGATCAAAGTAATAATGAGCATGAAAGGAAATTGTGACATTGCAAACTCAACAAGAACAGATGTAGGTACATGTTAAACAACCATCTACTCCAAAAGCTTAAGTTATTAGAGAGGGTCTAATTTAAGTATTTATACTTCAACACGCCTCTTCACATGCAAACTAGATTATGGAACTAACACGTGAAAATCTTTTAATCATTGGGGTAGCGGCGAGATTCGAATGCAAGAATTCCGACTCTAATACCATATTATACAACCATCTATTCAAAAAATTTAAGCTATTAGAGAGGGTGTAATTTAAGTATTTATACTTCAACAGTATATTAACCGAGACTCCTCTTATAAATCTCAAGTTGGGAGTTCAAAACTGCAAAAATGACACATAGAAACAAGAACACAAAGCTTTAACAGCCCAAAGAAGAGCCTAAACATAACACCCTTTCTCCATGTTACATGGACTAAAGTAAGAACACAATGTGGAATGCTTATTTTTAGCTATTAGGGCTCTAATCGTAGCTCTAGGAATGAGTTGGGCAGATGAAATAAATGAACTTTCCTTTTATCTCTTCGTTATTAAAGTTATTAGAAAGTGATAATAACCTAGCAAATTGCTTTTCCCTACAAATGTACCAAAGCACGGTACACTTCAATTTCGAAATGCTATATTCGGAATGCGAGGCATCTGTTTTATATTTTCTCCTTCAGTATTGATCATTTTTGGAACAAACACACAGATGTGTAATTGCAGGATTTAAAGTGATATCAATTTGAAATGTTTTTGCATTCGATTAAGCTTTCAATATGCGTTTACAACCCTTCATCTCAATCTACGATTCAAATACTAGGGCTTATTAAAGTCTGTGTACATTTCTCAATAAAAAAATAAAAACAAGAAGTTAACTAATTAATATATTTATTTTAAATCGCTAGATATAGTGTCCCACAAGGGGAGTGTATCATGTTTTAGAATATTTGTGGTAAAAAAACAAGAGAATTAGCAAGGATATCAACATTTGATGATAATTCCAATACAGAAAAATAGAATGAAACTTTGATTGCCTCGTTCATGTAAGTTGTTCCCAAAGTTAATGGATTAAAGCATGTATCAAAATTTTGTTTTGGAGCATAATTTTGATCAAATCAAAACCGGAATTTTGAAACAGAGAAAAATGTATAATTCTGATTCCCAAACATCCTGTTTTGTCAGAGAAAAATGTTCCACCCCTGTTTTGTCATAGTTTCAACCAAAAAGAAATTAAATTTTAATCTTTTTTTTAAGCAACATACAACCATATGCACATCCAATAAGGCATTCTTAGGTAAAAGCATGTAACATGAGAAAGATTCTTTTTGGCTTTGGCTAGTTTTGAAAAAAACTTCTTTCTCGGGGCTATTAATAAAAATATAATATCTTGTTTTCATGCTATTTCAGTGATTATGGATCTCCAACTTGAGAACTACAGTAAGTGCCTTGTTTATGCATCCTCTATTTGGTTGTGTTGAGCTTGTGCAATCACATCACTCTGTCCACATTAATTGTGTTACTTTTCATAATTGATTGTCATTTTCTGAGGTGAATCCTTTGCAACTCGTAAGGTTGTTTATATCCATTATAATCACTTTTAGGCCTTCCATATTTTTTTTAATTCATTCATGATATTATATGTAGATAAATAAGTTGATTTTCAACAACTATTCTTTTATGGTAGTGAGATAAACCTTATTTTGAAGTGATTACGTTATTTCTTGTGCACCATATAGAGAAACATTTCGTTTTGACCCAATTTGAATAACAGTAGTTCAGCAAATAAAGGAATACTTGAGGCGAACAATTCCTCAAGCAATCCCTGATTTTCAGGGTCCAAGAATCCTTCTAGTCAAATTTACTTTACAACTCCAACAACAGTTGATCAAAATCACCAGATTTATGAAGCTTTTGAACACTACAGTGACTACACACCAAAAATTGACTGGCCACATTCCAGAGACTAACTATACCACAGAATGATCAATAATACACATGCACATATAATGAAGCACATTGTAAGTAGAATATTACAGCAGAAAACAACAAATTTTCCTCCAGTCCAGCATAGCTAATTAAGAAGACACAAACCTCTCTAGGGCAAGGAGATCATCCTCTTCCGTATCGTCCATCTTCATTTCTGGAAAGAAAGAAGCTCAATTTTTTTATTTTTTTTTGATCAAAAAGAAGCTCAATTCAATGTGAGAGTAAATAATAGGAAATATCCCAACAAACGGAAACTTGATCCAGCTTTGAATTCTGCAAGAAACTTATGTGACCCCCACAACAAAATCTTGTCCATTAGTGAAATATTAGAACCAGATGGGATCCCCACAATATCTATAGATGGGAAATGTGAATATCAATAAAGCCATAGAGTATATATACTTAAAGGGGAAAATCGAAATGGGTTTAATGAAATGATGAAAATGTGATTGAACATTATACTCAAAATGAAATTTTCAGGGGAATGGGAGTAATCTTACTGACAGAACCTCAAACTAACCCACCCTAGGTAGGTTGAAGGAAGAGCGAGCCTCACTTTTATGGGTGAAAATGCCTTCCGATGAAAAATTAGCCAATAGCCCCTCAGGGTGAGTGTGTGAGTGTGTGTGTTATTGGCAGATTTGCAGTTGATGAGATACTTGCCTGACGCTCTACTCCTCTGCAAGATCCAATGGCGGCCGGCAGGAATCGGAAACAACCTCCGAACACCTATCAGTCGGAAAATATGGAATATGGCAATTTATAGTTTACACTTACAAATATTCACTTTTGACCCTAAAATATTTCAAGTTTTCTACTTTATACCTTTAAAAATTAAATTTTCTACAATATATATCAAAAATATTGCAACATTTTCAGTTAACTTTCGTGAGAATTTTAATTTTTAAGAGTAAAAAATAAAAAACCTAAAATATTTTGTGATATAAAGTACAAAAAGTCCTAAATATTAATCTAATTTCCATTAGGTCTAGGGTTAATCACACTTTACATCCAGAAAGTTGTTCAAATTTTCAAATTGTACCCTAAAAATTTTAATATTTTGAAGTACACCTTTAATATCTTTAAAAAAAAAAAGCTACAGTGTAACCCTGACCCACATTTTTGTTCACTTTTCCATTTGAAAACTCGATGTACAGGTTACAATTATCTAACAAAAAAGTCAAAGAACGTTTGGAATTGGCCCACGTTGTATTTATTTTGTGACATTGAAGGTATAATTTGAGAATCCAAATCTTATAAGATATAAATTAAAAATTTGAATATCTTTTAGGGTATACAATGTGATTAGTCTAAAATTGTAACAGGGTTTTCAATTCATCATTTCCATTCAACTCAGCTAATGTTTCTTGATATTTTTCTATCAAAAAAAAAAAAAGTCCATACTCATTTATCAACAGTTATAAAGTATTTATTCATTTGACGGTGTCAAATAGATTTATTCGACGATCACTAACGTTTTTCTTAAAATCATTCACATTATATCATCCCTTCAGATATTAGTTATCCCAAATTTCTCTATGTATATCAACATATCTTAGATTCTTGCTATGCATCTCGTTTTCTATTATATTATTTATCTGAAAATCACGTGAAATTAAGTAAAATTATTTACAAAAAGGGGCAGATTTGTTAACGAAAAAATATACGGTTTCGTCCGAGTAATGTATTAGTCATGTGAGATCATTCTGACAACAAATGTGGAGAAAGGATAAACTAAAATTTCATTGTTTTGAGAATTTGTTTGTTGTAATTAGAATTTCAAGAACTAAATAAAAAAAATAGATGCATATTTTAACGATATAAATTATAAATTATTATGATTAATAACCCCAAACTTATCATTTGAAGAAAATAAATAAATATGCTTAAAAATGAAAACAAAAAATAGGAAGTACAAATAAAGGAAAAACAATTTAAATATTAACTGAAAAAAGATTAGTTTTAAAATGACCAATAATCTGAAATATTGAAAGAAATCACTACTCCAAGGATCTCCTTAACCTTCGATACTTACCAATGGATTTTTGGTCAAATGGTACTCCTTACCTTATAAAGATTTTGTCTTATTAAGGTCAAAGGTTTAAACCCTCTTTCCCCTCTCTCTTCCCCCTCCCCAAAAAAAAAAAAAAAACCTTCAATACCTATGTAATGTTTTATTTTTTAATTAAAAAATAACATAAATTACACTTGTTCATCAATCAACCAATCTAATATTACAACTACGTACTTGAATTATTTATCTAATATTACAGTTATTCATCTACCTTAATTTAATTATATAAAATT